GGTAAGTGCGATGGGGAGTTTGGGAACAATCTGAATGTAGGAGTGGGCGGGCGCGACGACTATGGTGGCACTGTACATGGTCTTCTGCTTGTTGGCGAGTATGTTGACAGACCATGGCTTTGATGAACTCAGAGCGGGATGCGTATTTAGTGTGATTCTGGGTATTAATGCGTCTTGGTAATCTACCGTCATTAGTAAGAAGGATCAGCCATTCCGACAGACTGCACTTACTCTTGAGTGGAGTCTTCCTGAAGCAATCAACCCGTGGTACAGGAGGCGCGTGGTAGCTCTGTTGTTGCGGCGGAGGAGCGTAGTGGCCATTCTGCAGACCAAGACCGTTTGGATGTGGACTGCCACTGGCTGTGCGAGACATGTTGTGTGGTGGAGCCATGTGTGGATGTGGTGCTTGTACCGGAACGCTGAGTCGTGAGCTATCGGGCGCGGTGCTTGCGGGCCTTATTGCGCTCAGCGCCGGAGACTGTACATCTTGCTTGACACCGTTGACGGCTGGTGGAGACCCCCCAGTTTTACCTTGAGCAGCAGACAGTGGTGCGCTTGTTGAAGCACCGCCCTTGGGCCCAGAAAACGGATTTGCTGATGCTCCAGGCGTTGCTGCTTCACCAGATGCGGCTCGTGATGATTGGTTCCCCATGCTATTGAGTACATGCCGTTGTTGCCGTAAGAGAGCGTCGTTGTCAACAATAACACCCGGAGTTGCAGAATCACGAGCACTTGGAGTATTGGGCTCTGAGCCTGGGCTTGGTTTGAGTTTTAGCTTCAGTTGCTGCTTGGGAGCTGCTGATGCCGTCGACATGTTAAGTTTGAGCTTCGGCTGTGTTGGCTCGTTGACTTTTGACTTGGCCTCTTCAAGTTTCTTGTAAAAGATTTCCTAGGCAAGTTAGAAAAAACCTTGGTCGGAATGGATTCAGCGTACCTCAAGCTCTAGCGACAGGTTGTAAATATCACTCCCATCTTCATTGTAGATACGAGCATTCTTCCAGATCAAGCTGAATGCACTTTCAAAAGCATCCCAGCACTTGAACAGGGTATGGCCTGTAGGAGCTTCGCGACCAATGACGCCGCGCACTTTCTTCTGTATTGCAGATAGTGACATGGGATCCTTGATCAGCTGATAGTAATCCTTCAAGCTCCGTGATGGGAGATTTTGGAAGGGGACGAATATTTGTAGGCCTTGACTAGAAGGGTGTTAGCATGAGTTCAATGCAATGCAGCTGAGGCACACCACTTACTCCTCGTATTCAACAATCTCCCGCACAATCTGTTCCTGTGCCTGTTGAAAGGTCTTGCCTGTATACTCGGCGCGATCGTTGTCATCGGGTGCTGCAGACGCCGACTGTCGCAATTTCGATGGAGCTGGCGTGGCTGATGCTGCAATGGCAGCTGCTCGCCGAGGGCGTTCGACGGTGTCATGTGTAACGGGTGTCTGTGGGACTCTGGGCGTTGATACGACGCGGGGCGACGGTTTTGATGGAGTCGAGTTGTCTTCACCAGGAATGGGAGTAGCTACGGCGACGTAGTTGCCGTCCCGGTATGCTGGGTTGTGCTTCACCATCCAATTGGAGGCTGTCTTGCGTAAGCGCTCGGCATCTTCGTAGATGACTGATTTCTTGTCGTTGTAGGCCTTTGCGTTGTTGACGAGTCGTTTACAGTCGCTCTCGACTTGAGCCAGGCTGGAATACTCCCCATTGAGTAGTTTTTTCTGAGGCGCCTCAAGTCAGCAATCACGCACGAGATGTATGAACAGTAACCAATAGTAAGGGGTGGCGGTGGTGTTGAATTCGGATTGGTGTTGGTGAAGGCACATGGCATATGGGTGAAGATTGAAAAGGAGTAAACAATAAGTAAGCATACCTCGATGGTGTCTATCGCAATGGGCAGCTTAGTATACTCGTAGTAGTCAGGTACTTCGTCCTAGACACGGCTGTCAGTATGGGCGCTGATGGCAACGGGACCAGAACATACCCTATCTGGCAGGGTAAGGAAGTGAACTGCTATGGGTCGTCCCCTGCAGGCTGTCAGTAAGAAATCGCGGGAATTGCTCGCCCGAGGGCGTGGAAGCTATGCTATGCGAGACTAGCGACAGAGGCCGAGCACGCACGTCTTGTCTTTTGCCTGCTTCAGGCTGTCGAGGAACTTCAAGCCCGCGGTCGTCGTCGAGGCTACCGTCTCCGAGTTGGCATTGGTGTCGGCCTGCACGCGAGCGGGTCGCTGTCAGTAAAGGTTCGTAGGCTATTCCACCATGTTCTCCAGGGAGTCTTCGATGCATCGCCGGCGCGCGCGTGGTGTTGGGGGCAGCGAGGGAGGGGCTGACGGAGGTGGTGGTGGCTACTCGTCGAGCCCCCCAGGTGTCGCGCGCTCTTGTCCAAAGCCCATCCCGCATCGCGACCAACACGCCTTGTGCATCTCCAGAACACACCCCGACGATGCATCAATCCTCGCCCATGAACTGCACGTACCGGCCCTTTTTGTCGCTTCGCAGGGCGATTGTCGTGGTCGCTCGCAGCAGCGTTGGCGGCTTTCCGTTTGGCCGCGCTTTCCATTGCCAGTACTTTTGCGATCGCGTAGTCTATCCGAACGAGGCCCACAAGGTCTCGAGGCGAGTAACGAGTGTGGCGGCGGTGCAGTGAGTTGCGCGTTCAGTCGTCAACCCGGTGGACGCGCCGCAGTGCTCAATCTAGGGTTCTCCCGGTTCTGCCAAGACTTCGTGCACGAGCCAGGCAGTGAGTGCATCACAGACGCAACACTGTCGTTGTTGGACACACATCAACCAACAATAGCAACACCAATAAAAACAATCACAACACACATTGTCCCCCCAATTTGGAACTACAAACACTGATATCACCATTCAAGAGCTACTAGGCGCGGTGTCCTGGCTGTTGTCTCTCAGGGGTATACATGGAACAATGAGACCCTCCGCTAACACCGCAGCAAACCCATCATGTTTGTGACAACACCTCAGTAACAAGGAAAAGACTGCCCAACAAGCTCCTTTACTTGCTTGCTGCTTTTTCTGATGTTGCGTTCTTCTCAAACTCTGCTCGCGCCTCCTGCTCCTTCATCTCGCGCACCTTGGCAAGCACAACTTCTCGGAAGATGGCTCCCTTTGCAATTCTGCTCAGACGTCCAGGTCCCTTGCCTGTGCCCGGCGTCTCCTTAGTCTCCAGGCTCTTGCTGTCTGAATGTCCAGCAATGGCTTCACCTGCAGCCTCGCGCGCGTTGGCAGGCACGTCAGCCTCGCCAGGCACGTCTTCCTCCTCGTCTTCCTGCATCTTGAGCGCTTCAATGCGGTTTGCAAGCTTGACCAATTCGATACCGCGCCTGAGGCGAGCCTTTGCCGCGTATGCCTTGATCTCTGGCACCAAGTTGTGATCCGTGGCAGTTTTTCCGCTGAGCCATACGTGTCTGAGGGCAGCCTAGAAATTGTTAGCCATCAGCCGATACACGAGACAATTTTGCTCACTTCGCTTGTCGGTCGCTTGGCTGGGTCGGGCTCCAGTAGATTCTTGATAAACTCCTTGGCCTCAGGGCTGACTTCCTTCCAGTAGCGCTCGTGGAAAATGACGCGGCCATTCTTGCATTCCTCAATCAAATCCGCAAGGTTCTCTGATCGGAACGGTGAATATCCGCAGAGCAGTGTGTATGTGATGACTCCCATAGACCACATGTCGACGGGCTTTCCGTGGCCCTTCTTGAGCATCACCTCAGGAGCAGCGTATCCGAATGAGCCAGCCATGGTGGTTAGGACTTCAGTCTTGGAGTCAAGCATCTTGGCGATACCGAAATCAGCAAGTACGAGGGATGAGTTTTCGTCGCGTGTGAGATAGAGGAGGTTCTCTGGCTTGAGATCTGTCTATTCTTAGTATCGCTGTGGTGAGCCAGCGGACGCACGACAAACCTCTGTGTACAACATTGTTCTGGTGAAGATAGTTGACTGCGTCAAGTACCTGTCGAATCGTCTCGGCGGCGTCCTTTTCTGTGAACTTTCCCTTTTCACAGATACGGTCGAAGAGCTCTCCACCAGTTGCCAATTGGGTCACAATGTAGTATTTGTCCTGGGCAGAATGTTAGCTTGCTAGCCTGCCCCACGTCCTCGTCAGCATGCCTACCCTTGACTCGAACCAGTCGTGAAACTTGACAATGTGCGGGTGCTTCATGCGCTGCAACATCTCCAGCTCGTCGTAGACCATCTGCTCGTTTCCGCGGACATTCTTCTTCAGGATAATCTTGACGGCGACCTTGCCCTCGGGACAGTCAGCCTCCCTGACAATACCGTACGTTCCGGCGCCTAGTGTCTTTCCGAAGCGGTATCGTGATCTGCAATTGGTACGTTCAGTAAGGATACAAGCGGGCGCGGGGTATCAAGAAGCACCCACTTGCGATCATAGCTATCGGGCTGGCCGTGCAGCTTGTTGAGCATGTTGGTCACTGTGCACGCAGTCAGTCAGACGAGCAGCTTGCAGCGCAATGTAGAGAATGGGCATATACTCATGATGGGCAAGCCGGTGTGCAGTTATACGACTGCGGCGGGAGTGTTTTGGGGGTGTAAGGTGAAGCTTGGGGGTGCCTATCGGGCGCGTTCAGCTGGCGGGGAGGTTGGTGAGGGGTAGGTATCAACAGATACGCAGGAAGCAAGGCGTTCTGAACGAGGAAAAGAGCGGGCGGCAAAGGGAAAAAAGAAGTGGTGAAAAAGGAGGCACAGGCTGAGCTGGGTCAGCAATAATAAGTCCAGGGTCTGTTTCTGGACGAGCTGGAGTTGCACCTGGGCCGACGGTGGGGGCAGGCGCAGGCGCACCTGAAAGTCGTGTCCGCCTCGTGGCCTGTGGCTGACTTTTTGAGGCGCAGCACCGCCTAGCTGCGTAATCTAACCATGTCTATACGTTCGTACCAATACTCTCTGTGTCTATGTATATCCCGCTGCCGCTGCCGCTGCTTCCTGATGGCCATGTATGCAAGGCTGCATTGGCACTGCTGACGGCACTGCTTTGCAAAATGAGGGCAGCAGCCCGTTTGGCGAATATCTGCTGTCAGCCGCCATCACTCACTCCACTGTGGCTCCTGTCATCTCTAGCACCCAAAGCATGGGCCTTACCGAATCCACTCGAGGCGCATCTGGCGCGCCTCCATGAATCTTTGTCGCCAGTAACAGTATGTGTAAAAGAGGATAATACATCATAGGAAAGGAAAGAGACGTCAGTCTAGGGAGGAGCCATCAAACGGTCGGGCGTGAGAGCCGATCCTGGTCGTGCAGCGGGAGCAAGCCTGACAGGTTTGCATGTGCGATTCCTACGTCATGCTGTTTTGCCCATACATAAAATCAGGGTCTTGATCAACACACACACAACTATCACTTTTCTTCAGCTTTCTCCAACCTCTCTCTAGCACCAGTAATTTGTCTATAACCCTCACCTCACAAACACACTCTCAACTTTCAACCATGGCTGTCAGCTTCCTCGCCATCTTCGCAGGTCTCATCGCCTTGACCGCAGCCTACCTGTACGTTTTCGGCATCTCGCCTGAGCTAAAGCGCAAGATGGAGCGCCAGGCACTCAAGACCATGGGCGAGAACAAGATGTCTTACATGACCAAGGGTAAGCCGTGACATGCCCCCACTTCTTTCGCATTACTACTTAGGATACACTGACACATTGCAGATGCCCTCGACAAGGTTCCTGCCTCCGACCAAGAGAACATCAAGACCTTCAAGAAGGGCCTTGGCAACCTGGCCGGTGGCGCCACCCAAAACCCCATTGGCGAGCAAACTGGTGAAGCTGCGGACACTCTCACCCGTCCCTTTACTGGTCGCTAATGCCCCTTCTTTGTACAGTTCACGCAGTCACCCAAGCCAGGGATTCGGCGTCGAACTCTACTAAGAACGTGTGGCTTGACTGGGACACCGTCCAGAGTTATCCCAAAGCTGCGCTTGAACGTGTCTCGGCAGTGACGAACAAGGTTCAGGATACCGCTCAGTACCACGTTCCAAAGAAGGCGGAGTAACGGCGTGATGATGTTTGGGTGGATGAGCGGCTGGTTATCTTTGATGAGCGTTCTCGTTGTTCGGATATGATTATGACGCATCTCTTTTCTTCTTCCGGTGGCTGTTACCGCCTCCTACGACCTTGACGACCCCTTTGTAATAACACTCAATATCTCATGAACCTCAACTATTCAATCAATGTCTTGATCTCACCTCATCTTCCTACTGTGGCCCCTCTACTCCACACTAACCAAGCAACACCCTCCCAACACAGCACAATCCCCCAGAACACAACCTGGAATGCGACCTTCTTCGTCTTGTGCTGAAAATAATGCATCCCCGCCAGTGCACCCGGCCACCCGCCAACAAGCGCCAGCGTCTGCAACGTCGTTTCCTTGACCCTCCACTCCATATTGCGCGCCTGCATCTTATCATACCCATAAAACAAAAACGTAACCCCACTAATAGCACCAGCATACATAACCGCATATAGGGGAAACCGCGACAGAGCGTATAACCGCATCAGCGTCGCAGCGGGGAGAAGCAGCGACGCCACGCCAGCGAGCGTTGCTACTGTCCAAGGTCGATGACGGGGACGTGCCCGTGGCACCATCTTTGCGCGTATATATGTACGCGGATATTTACTGGTGGCTCCGAGGATAAAACGTCATAGATGGATTGTTGGACACAAATTTTTTGAGCAGACGTTTGGGCGGGGTGAAAAGCAAGGCTACGATGGCGCTGTGTTCTAAGCGACTCGTATGCCCTGTCGATCTCCCGGTTTGGCGGGTTGCAGGGGCGCTTGGGCGGATGGGGGTTAGTATGGATGTAAGTAGTACACTTTGACTTGTAGTTATCGTGACCTTTGGCCTGGTTATGTGAAGTATGGAGGATATTTTTTTTGTTCTGTTCTTTCTTGGTGTTACTTGGAATAGATTTTATGTGGGGTTGCTGGTGTCGGAAAGAAAAGTATCTAGTAGTATTGATCAAGGTGTAGCCAGCGAGAAGCATCGATAGAAGTAATCTATTGGATCTTGTTCAAGCTACAAGCATCTACATACAACAGCAATACCCGGATGTTTACATGCATTCCTGTTGTCAGTTTCCTCGCCTCACCTCACAACAAAGGTTTTGTAAACACACACGTATGCTTGCACCTTCCTCGGCCCGTCCCGCACCTTCTTACTTACATTCAACCAAAGCCACACCTGCAATTTCACCTTCCGCCACCTTCCGCCATCCTCATTAATCCGACGCAGCGGTCCTTGAATCCCAGTTCAGGCACACAACAAATATGATCCAAGTACAACCACAACCCTCCCTGACCTATGTCAACCCACACGTGATGCTAGGCCTAGATCACCTCTACTTGCGTTAAAAACCGCATGTACATACGTACGCTTATCCCCCCATGCTGACGTATAAACCCCGCACTAGTAATAGCAAGTAACAGTCTCATTAAACATTAAGGCCCGACTATCGGGGTACGCCGCAGCAATCCTTTGAGGTATTATTCGGAATACTTACTAGTAACAAAAAAATGACATGGTTGAGGAAGGACGAAAACATTCGGATACTTAGGTATACCCGGAATGACAGTAAAGCCGGCTGACAGCGCTACGACCCGGAGGAAACAAAACAACCATGCCCGGTGGATAGCTTCGACAAACGGGCATATTGCGACCTCATCCTTTGCATGGATTGCATGTTAAGATGATGCGATGAGAGTTTGACACTAACGTGCTCGCATTTACAACAAACGCAGGCAAGCCTAGGCACGATGAGCCACCTTTTCGGTTATGAAGGGACCATCGAGTCCTAGTTTAATTTGCGAAAGAAAACGCCACTACTTCTTACAGGCTGTGTATTTCCTGTGCGGAGATTAAATTTCCAAGTCACCGAGAAAAGTAACCTATCAGGGACCCCCCTGAACCACATTTGTAAGGTCTTCAATTGCCAAAACAAACAATGGAAAAAAAACTTGTTTGCAAAGGATGAATAGTATCAGGGTTGGATTTTTTCCGCTTTACTACTAGGTTATAAGAGATTAAACACTAAATCAGCTACACTTCCAAGGCCACCCACTTCCTCTATCGATGTTGCCAAGTCTGCATGTGTGTTCCCTTCTCGATCATGGATTCACACAAAAGCGAAGGCAAGACTAATAAAACAAAGGAAAGAAATAAAGACACATGATGGCGTGAGAAGAACGCAGCAGGGTAACAAGCTGCTATATTTGCAACAAGATTTGAGGTGATGATGCGCTACATAGAGATACATATGGACTATTTCCCCTTTATTTCAAAGGTTTGCTTGACTTATGCAAGAACATCGACACAGCCAAAGTGCTGCTCAACACCATAGGCGCCAGCGGGCTTCCAGGTGTCGTCCTGGAAGGAGAAGACGCTAGCCTTCTCACCGACAGCCTCCTGAATCTTCTGCATAGCAGTACGTTGAGCATCGGGGCTAGCGACAGCCTTGCCGTTGGTCTGACCCTGGGAAGGCCAGCCGATCTCACCAATGTAGGCACCACGGGCGGCAGCCTCGGGGCAGACCTTGGAGGCTTGCTCGAGCTGCTGGGCGGCAAAGTCACCGGCCATGTCGGCGCTGACGGACTGGGTGAAGTAGGGCTGGACCTGGCAGACGAAGACGTCGATGTGGGAGCAGAGGGCGGCACCCTTGGTCTCCCAGACGTCGACGGGCTCGGTGGTGGTGATGGGGACAGTGGAGGGGAAGCCAGCGCCACGGAGCTCGTCGCGGACGTGGTCGATGTAAGAAGCGAGCTGCTCAGGCTGGCAGTTACCGTTGAACATGCACTCGTTGCCGACAATGACCATGGAGATGCTGTCCTTAGGAGCCTTGTTCTTGATGTCGTCGAGCTGCTTGTTGGCGTACTCGGAGAAGCAGCCCTTCTCGCCAGCCTCGAGGAAGATACCGTAGATGATCTTGAGTCCGTGCTTCTCGCACTCAGGAACAACGTTCTCGAAGACACCGCAGTCGGTGTTGTAGACGCGGATAGTGGTGAAGCCGAGACCAGCAATCTTCTCGATGTCAGAAGCAACCTCACCAGCTTCCTTGCACTGGCCGGACTGTGCGTAGGGAGTGTAGGTGATGGACCACTTGTCGCCGTTGGTTACAATGTGACCATTGCCACCGGATGGCTTGGTAGGCTTGGGCTGTGCACTGCTGCTGGAAGGAGTAGGCTTGGGCTTGTTGGCATCCGGGACAGAGGGAGTCTGAGCGGGCTTGCTCTCCTTAGGAGGCTGGGGAACACCCGGGTAGGTGGGCTGGCTCTGCTGGGGAACAGCTGGGGTGCTGGGCTTGGGAGCCTCGGGCTTAGGAGGTTGGTTTCCCTGGGGGTAGGTAGGAGCTGGGCTGCTGGGCTTGGGTGCCTCAGGCTGAGGGGGTTGAGGAGTACCTGGGTAGGTAGGAGGCTGGCTTTGCTGGGGGACACCTGGAGCAGGGCCAGTAGGCTTGGGGGTCTCCTCATCGCAGGAAGTGGAGGCCGGGACAGCCGGGTGAGGAGGCTGACCACCCTGGGGGTAGACAGGAGGCTGGCTCTGCTGGGGGACAGCAGGGCTGCTGGGCTGAGGAACCTCGGGCTTAGGGGGTTGTCCTCCCTGGGGGGTAAGTAGGAGGCTGGCTCTGCTGAGGAACAGCAGGGTAGGTGGCCGGCTGGCTCTGCTGGGGAACCTCGGGCTTAGGAGGCTGACCACCCTGGGGGTAGGTGGGAGGTTGGCTTTGCTGGGGGACACCTGGAGCAGGGCCAGTAGGCTTGGGGGTCTCCTCATCGCAGGAAGTGGAGGCCGGGACAGCCGGGTGAGGAGGCTGACCACCCTGGGGGTAGACAGGAGGCTGGCTCTGCTGGGGGACAGCAGGGCTGCTGGGCTGAGGAACCTCGGGCTTAGGGGGTTGACCTTCCTGGGGGTAAGTAGGAGGCTGGCTCTGCTGAGGAACAGCGGGGTAGGTGGCCGGCTGGCTCTGCTGGGGGACAGCAGGATTGCTGGGCTTGGGAGTATCCGGGTGGACAGGCTGGCTCTGCTGGGGAACCTCGGGCTTAGGAGGCTGTCCTCCATGAGGGTAGACAGGAGGCTGGCTCTGCTGAGGAACAGCAGGGCTGCTGGGCTTGGGAGTCTCCGGGGTGGCAGTGGGGTAGCTTGGAGGAGGGCCTGTTGGGTGTTAGGATATGTATCGGTGATAATATGATTGCTGTTCTATTACTGACCAGTCACGTAGACGGTGGTGTAGACAGTGCAAACATCCTCCTGGGGAGCCGCAGCGTGGTCGTGGCGGCGCTGGTGGAAACCAGCATGAGCCTTATGCTGGGAGGCAAAGACTGACCCAGCAAGGGCAGCTGCAACAAATGCGTACTTCATCTTGGAATCGGTACGGGGTTTTGTGGTAAACTGGGGGTAGTGGTGCTAGTCCGCTGAGCGAGTGAAGCGGGTATTATTAAGATATAAAACGTATAAAGAGCGACAGGGCACAATAGGCCAAAAAGACTTGTCAACGAGGCGATGCGTAACGAAAAGCCTTGCGTAACGAGGGAAAAAAGAGTCCAAAGTCAGGCTGGAAACCCGGAGCTTTTGAGTGCTGAGCCATGGCCTGTGAGCTGACCAGGCCGTGGGCCGCTGTGGCTCAAAAGGCGTTAGTTAGGGGCCCTGGAAATTGCTACGGCCCTCATTGCACAGGAACGGCATGGGCATGCTGTTGCCGGCTCTATTGAGTTCGTGAGTTGCCCCGAGCGGAAATGACATCTGGGGTATCGCAGTCGTGTTGGGTGGAGAGCGGATCGGCTCTAGCTGCGGATGTGGCTAAGCGCCTTCACCCTGAACAACATTACCAAGTGCGTCACAGCAACAAATACGACATCGGCCTTCTGACACCAGCTGTCTTCTGCACACGAGAAACCCTATCGTCCCGCGCAGGCATGTTGCGCCTGTCGGAGCAGCCACAGAACCATCTCGTATTACATCTCTGCCTCTCGCTGGTGTGGTGACGGCGGATCACTGGCGTCTTAGTCTGGCGAATCGATGACATTACGGACGGCGGCCGTAAGACGAAGCATTCACGCGTGGTTAAATGTGTTGTGCACCTCACAAGCCGGAACCATGGCCACAGCACTAGCCGGTATGCAGGTACCAAACGGTCTCGACAGGGAATCGCCTTCTTGACCGCTGTTTTAACTGGCCGAAGCTCGTATTCATAACAAGGGTGGGTAACGGTAGACGAGGCTGGCGTGCGCCCCCTTATCCACACGACTCGACCACGCCACCAGAAATAGGACACCGGCTATCGATGATGGACGTCACTAAGCTCTCCAGTCAGGTATGCCTGTCGCGCTGCAACCTTATTATACATTTATGCGAGTGTATCCTGTGGACGGCGAAGCTGCGAGAAATGAGGTCAACACATACCGCCATTCCTGTGCCGCGGAACCGCTTGCGGTCCAGGCCATTCGTCTCGGGAGGTTGCTCATTGTGCCTGTATTTGAATTGCCGATTCTGATTCGCTGCCTACGATGCGGAATATGGTCAGCCAACCATCGCTCTGTGCCGCAATCACTTCGATTCTATAGCGCTAAAAAAGCTTCGATCGAGGGGGCCAGCGCGGTCCTTATTATGATATATAAGTAAAGGGTGCAAGCAGCATATGTAGTGTGTTCTGAAACTAGGCCATGCTGACCAAAATCTCTACGAACCGCACAAGATGTCATCGCAAGCGGAGACTCTCTACACATCAGGCCAACATACCACTAAAATTATTGATCAGGTTTGGATACTGTAGTGTCTAAGATATCGATTGTCTTACTTGCAATAAAAGAGAATTATTCAACTCTCCTCTGCCAAGTCCGATCGTCTGTTGCTCAGGCCGTGCCTATCCCCCTGGCCAGAACAGTGTGCTTTCAACCTATATATACACTCTTTTGCCCCGGGTCCACTGAAAACGTCCTTCCCTGCTCTTGGCCCTCTTGATCACCGCCTCTATGGATCGTGAAAACATGTGTTCTTCATAGTCCCTAACACTCTCGTTTGGATTCTTCCTGTGGCTGCACGCCTGAATTATCTCTGACGCCAACACAACTGCATCCTTCATGTCTACATTGACTCTCGTCAACGTATGGCATAAAGACGTGCACTTGACATCTAATAAGTGCTACGCATAGGTAATGCGGGCCACTAAAGACCCATCGACAGTTCGAAGAGGGCGCGCGCGCTTCCAGTGCACAAACGCAAACAGAGGACAACGTGCTTCAAATCATCGTGAAATGCGAAAACTATTGCTCATTGTATTCTATTGCTGATTCACATCTGACTAATCGAAACTGCAAGTCTCCAACGAAATCTTCAGTCGCTCTCAAAAATAAAGCGAAAATCCACAGACTACCATCGCCATGCTATTGAACCTGTCCAGCGCATCCCTGTCCAAACACCATCACTGTACCCTCCCTAACGTACTGCGCAAGTCGAACATCCGTCTCGATGTCTGCGCATATCAGTAATTCACTCAAGACGCCAAAAGACACCGGTCTCTAATGCGACATCACCTTGCGAACCCTGGACCCCTCACCATCACCCCCAACCATAAGACTCCAAACCCGTTTCCATTGTCCCATCCGCAAACACCAAGTCGAACCTGACATCCACATTCTCCGACAGAACCACTTTCCAGTTCTAACTTGTGATCTGCTCTAGCTTCTCAACCACAAAACTTATTAAAGTCATAAAATCAATTTCGGACCTTGCATCTGATCCCACATTACACATCTTACATACCATCTTTGTTCATCATCTCCGTTCATTGCGTACATATCCCTCTTGCTTCCCTAAGTGCGGGTTAATTTATTTATGGGTGCAGATGGAAGAGAAATTGTCTTGTGGACAGAGAAGCGGTGATGACTGTAGATTGTGCATGGAATGCTGTGGCTCTGAAGTAGAACATGCGAGACCGAGAAATATGCAAGGCTATTGTCTATAATACGGAGTTCTTTTTTTGGACGTCACGGCTCCAGGACACGAGTGCAGATATTTCTTTGACAATGTTCCTGCCGGAGAATCACGACACGGGGTCTCTGTAAGAGAAACGATTAGTTATATCAGATGCCGATTACATGATACGGGCAGGTCGGGTTACGGCTTCCTAATTTCTTTTCCTTGAAAAAATGAGTTAGTATGTTAGATGCGAACGAGATATGATCCTGTGTAAGTAATGAGTGGTGTGAGATGCAGATTAACTTTGCAAAACAAGAAGAGCAAAAGTAATTTTAGCAAAACCCATACTAGTCAATATTCGCAACTCACCAACAATATCTGTGATGTCATGTAGCACCCAAAGTAAAACAATCAATCCTGAAATTATTTATTCTCTTTACCAATGTCCTCGAATATCCTTTTTACTTTGATTTGATATCTGCCCAGATATTCACAGCCACGTTTCTCCCTCCCCTCTTGGCTGGCTGCGCAATAACAGGCGCGTTTCGTCAGATACTTTTACATTCTTGGAATGAATGCGTACCAAAGTTCACTAGTATCTCACCCTCAGCCCCAAACCGCGTCTTGGTATGTACACGGACGCGACACTAATCTGTACCACTGCGTAGCGGACTGCGCCACGCCTGGCATCACGTGTCTTCAAACCCATCGATTCAAACGCGCGCCTAGACTTTGTCGCAGTTGTGTTTTCTTCCATACCAAGCCGGGAATTGCTTCTATGGGCAACGGGGATGCTGGTACTACTCTAATTGTTTATTTTTTCTTCCTTCTCTGTTCAATTAGCCTTACGTATGCATTACATGATTTTAAAGGGAATAACCACAGAAAACAATTGTTGAACAAAGCCTGATTTTTGTTCCTTGAATAGTTACCGAAAAAAGCAACCACGAACGCGTCGGGTACAGCATGCGCGTTGGAAAAGAGTGGTTTCTTATTTTAAGATCACGTGATGTTTACACAGCTCAGCACTACGTACTTCGCTGTGGCTCGATGCTTGGTATCCATGCTATAATTGGGTAAATTAATATAACGATGTACGCTTTTATTGTCACTAAATTCAATTAACGCTGGGGGTCTTGAAATAAAACACATAACAATCGCGCAGCAGCAGACACTATTGCATGCTCAAAGCACCCTGAAGTGTTAAGGAAGATGGACGGTAAGCGACTTGCTACCCGACCTGCGACAGTTCGAATTACGTCGTGGTGTTGGGTCGTGCTCTTCTAGGGCCCCACAATTCTTGGAAAAATCCCCAACAAGTCTGGACTCTTGAGTGTCGACATCCACGTCATCGGACCCTTGATCAATAAATCCAGTCAGCCCAAGCCTAAGCCCGCTCGTCCACTTTTTCCTAAACCAGGTCTTTTGGCGGCCAACGGGATGTTGTGGACTGCGTTGCCAATCCTTACTTTTACCGCGTCAAGCATAGCACCTGGTGTTTGAATGTACTCGGTGGCGTCAATTCTTTCAATCAGAGCCGTCCATTCAGCGTCGGGCTCAGTCAAGTTCCAGGCTATGCTGACGTGGAAATATGGTGAATAATCATGCGTCTGGGGGTCATTCTTATCGACCTTCCTTCTCTTTGGCCTATGGTTGTGGTCGACGTCTTCCATCGGACCGTCTCCCGCGCCGCTGGTGTACAAGGCTGGATGTCCGGTATTCTTAGCAGCTTGGTTACATGCATGGAGTAGGGTGTTTAGCTCGTCGTTCTCTGGTCTTTTGATGGCAAGTACTAAGAACCAGCGGTTGCGCTCAAAGTTGGGCACCCATTTCAGGCCTTGAAACTCGAAATTGAATGCAGGTACTGCGCATCGTCGCAAAGAAGCACCGAGAGTGTCGAGAAATGTTTCTCTGTCCTCGGTCTTGATTTGCAGCGTACGCGACAATGATACATGCAGAGGCAACGGCACGCCTAGGTCTGATTGAAGCGAAGGCGTAATGTCTTCTGGTACTGGTAGCTTCTTTACACGCTTGGTGTTTTCAAGTTCGAATACAGTCTTCACGTGCTGTATCAAGTTGAGCAGAGCAATGGATTCACGCTGTGTTGGTATCCCTCCAAGGCGTTAGCCTGTTGTCCGTCACGTGCGGGATGCCATGTCGGTATCCTTACACTCTAGATAGACATGACTGGGCCAATTGCCCTGGATATGTGGCACAGCACGTCGACGTCCGCCATGGAGGTCTGGATTGTCGCTAGTGCTGACGCGGGCGTTTACCGCATAGAGGTCATGGAAAGCTGGCGGGAGCGGTGGCAGAGCATTGCTGGGGTTGGGCTTGGGCTTTGCAGCGGCAGCAGCAGCAGGCTTGGTGGGCGGGTGTGCAGGCTGAACAGGGTGGACGAGGGTCTTATCATGCTCCGTCCCCTCGTCGTCCGAGGCAGAGTCTGGATAAGCGACGAGGGCCATGTTGGGGCTCGATCGCAGTTGGTGAAAGATCACCTCTGCTGTCGTCACTCGTGGATAGACCAAGGACCGGCCCCACTTTAAGCCTAGCGCATCCGCATGACGTACGGCAGCGATTGGGCCGCGTTTGGCTTCACCCAGAACGAGAGCGAGCAAAAGAGAACTGACGCAGGGCCGCGACTGAGCCGCCAGCATGTGTGTGTACGCGTCCCACCCAGCCATTTAATCATGCCCGTCTCCCCTGCCCATTGCCTGTTCCTACTTTCCATCTCTCCTACTCCATCACCATCACTGCAACGACGACAACACTTGGCTGCTTTCCCGGATCACGCCATATTTAAAAAACAATAATTGCGCCCGCAATCTTGCCAACACACCACCACCATACACACTCAACACCATCACAATGGAAGCCGTATGTCCGGTTTGGTGCGCAGGCGAATATACATGCTGATTCTTATAGGCACATCGAGCAATCATTGATCCTCTGATCGAGCCGGACCCAAGCGAAGAGACTGGACTCAACAGCCACTTTCGCTCAACTTTCGCTCCCGCTGCTCCAATCACACCGCCCGGATCCGCTGAATTACCCAAGGAGCACCCCTCTATCAACATCCAGCACACTGGCAGTTCAACCAGCACAAACCCGTTTCGTCGCTCTAGGGCTGCGTCAGATACCAAGGGCGCATCTGCCTCAGTGACCAACTATGGACACTCTTCCTCACATAGCAGAAGGAACAACTATCCCTCCCCTCCCAGCTCCGCCAGCCCCAAGCACACCCGGTTCCCCAACAATCACCGTGCCGAAGCCTTCGGATCCATGAACGAAGCCAAGCCACGACGAGCCAGCAACCCCCCACCATCCACGCTCAACAACGGCCTCTCCCGCGGAAACTCTTTGAAAGAGCGCTACCCAGGCGACAAGTCTCACCGGCCACTCGACCAGCTACGCCATGATGAGAAGGTTGCTCACCGTGCTCCACACTTGAGGAAAAAGAACATGCAGGGTGCAGACCTCATTGACCGCCTCGACAAGGCAAGCATCCTCCGTTACCACCACGAGGGACCATACGATGCCGCCAGCATTGCCCGTAACAGAGTTGAAAAGTACAGTCCCCTTGCGGCCGTCAAGGACTCGAACGAGGAGGCACTGAAAGCTACTCCCCGCGAGAACATTATCGACTCGCTCCAGAGACATCGTCCTCTCGAGGGCGTCGCCAATATCCCACCCGGCATGCCGGATCGTTTCGGAAGGGTTCTCGAATACGAAGAGGGAGCCGACCTGCAGCGTGAGCCCGGAGGTGATTACCGCCGCTGGCCCGGTGTCGTAAGTCCATCCTGAAACCCGTCTCAACAAAGTCCGCCTGCTAACAATGCCGCAGCAATACCACCCCGACGACCTCAAGGGCAAGGGTGAGCCGTCGTTCACAATTGAGAAAGCCCTCAAGGAACACAAGCGTATCGGTGACAGCGGCACAGAAATGAAGACGCGCAGCCGTCGTGCTCATAGTGCTGGCCACACTGACGCGTACGGCACCACCAGCCACGATCATGCCGAGAAGAGTATGGGCAGTGCAATCAAGAGACGCATCGGCAGTATCCGTCGCCGCAAGCAGGATCCAGAGGTGTAGAATGCCTCACTGTTTCCACGCTCCAAGCGGTTTGACCAGATTCTCCACGCCCACGCTACTCATTGAATGGGCGTTTTGTCCACCAAAAAAGAAATTGTACCAAAAAAATTATACGGAGCTAGGAGGATTACCAGAATTTTCTTTCTTTTTTTTTTCCAAGTCTCTTTCCATTTCATCCTTGTCCAGTATCGATCATCTACCAGTGACACAAAGATATCCGCAAGCATACCTGTACACGTTTTTCTTTTCTTTCCTTATTTATACTTGAGCTGTTTTTGTTGTTGTTGGCGCAAATCCGGGAGGATGCAAACGACGATCCTGGGCTGCTTTGGGTTGTGTAGGTGTAGCAAGCTCTTCCCACTGTACGATAATGTGTAGAAAGAAAAGGCAGTCCAGACTTGAAACGAATTAATGCAAGCATGTATACCACTTTTTGAAAATTGTTGTTAGACATTAGATAATTGGATCGTACAAGCGTATGTGAATGCTCGCGAGTGAAGAGTAATGAAAAAGAAAAAGATGAGGTGTTTCCAGAGAAGAAGACCGAAATGTGCAGCGGTATAGGGTATGCTAAGGAAAAGAATTCCAGGTGAGTAACAGGAGAAAGGAAAGTGAAAAAAAAGAATGCCACTGCCCCAAACTAGCCCTTCATTGCGAAACATAAAATTACCCAATCCCCCCAGTTATCGTGTTGTTCATTTTCATTTTCTCATAGTAGACAATGCAACCCAATTTTGTTTGCATATCTACTCGTCCTGTTCCTCGACAGCCTCATTCTTGACCTTTGCAGCAGCCTTGACGAGCTGCTTGAGGCGCTTCTCCATGACTGAGCGTCCCTCAAGCGTCTGCCAGACTTGGTGTGGCGCCTTATTGACCACATCCCAGCTCACAAGGTTGTCCGTGAGATGCGTCAAATCCTTCTGCTTGCGTTCCCACTCGCTGTTCTTCTTGACCTCGATTCCACTCGAGACAACGACAAGAGGTGTGTTTGAGCTTTGAATGTTTCGTGCGGCAGAGACTTCGTTCTTGGTCAGGCTGTCGGCAACAAGGTTCTCCTGGAGCTGCGCCTTGATGAATTTGCCGGACTGGTAAGCATTGCGGCCGTAGACGCGGTCTTCGCGCGTGCGGCCCTTGAAGAGTGCGCCTGCGAGGCGGACGGTACCAAGAGGCGAAATGATGCCCCAGGCCCAGAGCAAGAAGCCGCGTCCAGGGTTACCAATGCGGTGGAGAAGGTCTTCGTGGAGAGGATCAACCATCATGATACCCGTGACCTGCTTCAGGTGGCGCGAGCTGAAGATACGTGAAACAATGCTGCCAGTACCAGCTGAGACAAGAATCCATGGTCCTTCCTCACCAGACCTGGCAAGTGCCTCAGAGAGAGCATCTGCAGACATACCGGCCGAGTGTGGCGAGGGAGCATTATCGGAGAAGGCATAGCCGGGACGGTCCCAGTAGCAGTAGCGCGAGATGGTACCGTTCTTGTAAGCTGCGTAGGCCCAATGCTCAAGATCATACTCCAATGGTTCTTCGCCAGCCTCAAGAATGACGGTGGGGTCCCTTGAGCCATGCGTTTCCGTCACATTGCCAACGCAAGCCAAATGAACCGCGTACTTGTCTCCATCGACCAATATGCGGTCACCGTACATCTTGAGTGTTGCGTCGCGGCCGCGCAGCCCCAGGGTGGCAGTCATTAGAATGACAATGATAATGAAGATGACGGTTACAGTGGTAGCGACAAGAACAGCAACCCATTCCTTCAACGTGCGGCGGGTCTCTGCGCGTCCAGTAAGACGCTCCTCCTCCTCTCGCTTGCCGTATGCAACAACGCGATCAGTCAAGATGCACCAGACGGCCATCAAGAAGGCCCAGATGACGCTTGCAATGCCAACCCAACCCTCTTCGAGCCTTATACGTGGAATCGATAGGATGAGAATCATGTCGATAGCCAAGAGACCGGCAATGATGGATGTGGTGATGCGCAAGCCCTTGGCCGGTGTAATGAAGAAGATGGTGACCACGAGGAGGTTGCCAATGGTAAGACAGGTGTAGGCAAAGTCGAAGAAGCCTGAGCCACGTGTGTGGAGTCCAGGAGGAGAGACGAAGATGGAGACGAGTAGGAGGACCCACCACAAGAAGCTGATGATCAAGAACAGGATGGTGAGATAGCGCATAGCCCGTACGGTCCAAAGATTGTACGGCGATACCTGCAGCTATTGTTAGTACGAAGTGTTGTATGCTGATAGTGTTTGACCTACAGCTGGGTCATCTGGGTCGAGATAGCCATCTGAATTGGGTGGTGGCCTAGGGCGATCCAGAAGTCTGGTCCTCTCGTTGGGCTCATCGCTTCTCCTGAATGTCGTAGAGCCTTCATCGTCGTTGGGAATTGGGTAAGGCTCCTCATGGGTGAGGCCATTATCGCCGTTGTCCTTGGCGCCTTTCCACATGGTGGCAGGCTGAGGTCTTGGGGAGATGAAAGCCCGTGTTGTTTTGGTGTGATTGAGAGGAGTAGATCAAGGTGAGGCAAACCGTAGGGTTAATTGTGATTTTTTTGAAAGGAGAAAAGAAAGAAGAGCGTCCTGTGAAGCTCGTCGATGTGATGAAAGCGTCTTGGGGGCGCGGAGGTTTTACTGAAGCTCAACGCGCTAGGAGAGGCGGGATCGACATACGTCATCATGGCATGCATCCAGGCTCGCGGGCACCCTAGTCGCAAATCATAAATCCAGATCCCGCGGCCACGCCCGTGTAGTGTACATATGTACATATGTATGTAGCGGATCGGATACACGTCACCCATGTCCACGGTACGGTCAATAAGCTCACTCAGCCTCGTGTTGTTCTCGCCTATCGTGCACATGGCACTTCTCCACAGGGGGTCGAGAGACTGGGTCCGCCATGGGGGAGTCTCGTGTTGATGTGAATAACTCGCTTAGACGTACTTGGAGCTCCCATCCCTGCCGGCGATTAGTAGACGGGACAGGACCACCCCACTGTGTTAAGCCCCCCTCACGCATTGCCCTTCCACCGATTCAGGCATATAACTCATCGGAAGGCTGCATAACGTTCGCCCTCATCGCCATTAGTGGACCAATCAACTCACTGCGGACCGCAACGCGTACCCGAAGCCTGCTTTCCGACACTGTACATACAGCCTCGCCCAAGCTGCCATGTCCAGTCTGGCCAGAGAGTTTGCCAAAACTAAGCTCTCTTCCCTGCCGCCGCCTGAGCCATTGCAGGAAGAGCCGCCCGAGTACGAGGATGACTCGTCCTCAGCCTCGTCAATGTCAAGCACCGGCACAGTCAGACCGTCTAATACGCTGAGACCCGCCCCCGCAATCCACTGGTCCGATTACTTTGCCCAGGAGTTCTATCTCGAGCAAGATCGCAAGAGCGCGGGCCATGCAAAGTTCCATGTCTACCTCACACCGCCAGCATCGCCAAAGGCCCCGCTCATAGTGCTGCATCATGGCGCCGGAAGCTCTGCAATGACTTTTGCCTTGGCCACAAAGGAGATCAGGAAGGCTATGCCAGACATCGGCATACTCGCCGTCGAAGCACGCGATCATGGCAGCGTAGTCTGGGATGCTAGCGGACAAGTGGATACGGACCTAAGCATTGCCCAACTTAGCCAGGATCTACTGGATATGATTCTGCTCACGCAAGCCAAGATGGGTTGGAGAGACCTCCCCACGGTTGTCTTGATCGGACACAGTTTGGGTGGCGCAGTTGTTACCGATGCCGCTAACAGGGGACTGTTAGGCAACAAGCTAATGGGTTTCGGAGTACTAGACGTAGTCGAGGGCTCGGCCATGGAGACGCTGGGACACATGCATACCTACCTGGCCAGTAGACCCAAGTCGTTCCCGTCGCTGCCTGCGGCTATTGAATGGCACATCCGTTCACGCACACTGCGCAACCCACAATCAGCCAGAGCTAGCGTGCCGAGCTTGTTACTACAAACTCCAGACGGGCGATGGGCATGGCGGACAGAGATCTCGAGCACAGAGCCGTATTGGGAAAACTGGTTCACGGGAATGAGTGGTAAATTTCTTAGCGGCAAGGGAGCCAAGTTGTTGCTACTTGCTGGCACAGACAGACTGGACAAGGAGTTGATGATAGGGCAGATGCAGGGTATATTTCCCAAAAAGCTATTCTGCTGCTATTGTGAAATCTAACATTATGCAGGTAAATTCCAACTACAGGTGTTTCCCGCCGCCGGTCACTTTCTTCATGAAGATCTCCCCGAGAAGACTGCTGAAGTCATAGTAGAGTTTGTAAAACGCAACGACAGGAGCACTCTTGTCCTTCCACCCAAAGTTTCCGATATGCTTGCGCAAGGCAAGCGGGTATAGAGGTGCTGTTGTATACAGTGGCTTCTCTTTTAGCAAACATCTTCGTCCAAGTTGACGCCTTTCATACGCGTTTATTATACGCGCTTTGGGTACGCTTTGCTCCGCTTTTATCTCTTCTCGACCTCTTATCTTTTCCAGTTTTCGATTCCCACAGGCCTACTTAGAATTCAGGTCTGCTTCAATACCCGAGCCCATTCATGGCGAGGCCGGCCCCTCGCCAACTTGTGCCTCATCACCACCCTCAGCTTTGGGCTTGTGCTTTCTCCTTCTCTTACGCGGCGCGGAATCCTCACCCTCGTTCCCTCGACTGCCTCCATCGGTTGCATTCGATGTCGATGGCCGTGTCTTCTTGGTAGCACTCGACTGTGTTGCCGTCTTCTCCTTCTTGGGCTTCTTGACACTCAGCGGATTGGGGCCCTTGGGGCCCTTTCGTTTCTTAGGCTTGGGTTTTGCATCTCCCATAGATTGTTCCTCAATAGAGCGGCTGCCCTCACCGTCTTGTCCCTCGTCTTCTCGCTTCCGCTTCAATGGCGCATCTGGCTTGCGTTGTCCTTTGAGCCCCAGTTTGAACTTTGATTTTTCTTCTCGCTCGCGGTGTTGCTCTGTGATTTCAGCCATAGACTCCATGAGTACCACAGACTTGGCTAGGTATATGATGGGTACGCCAGCAATTGTTCGCATTTTTGCGCGTGTATCTGAATCGTTGGCCGCAACTACATATCGGTGCTTGTTGGTCGCACTGTCTTTAGGATCCACGACAGAGCTCAGGCAGTCGTGTGTACTGAGTGGTTCATCGAGGTCTTGATGGTTGCATCGGCGGCGCTCGTACTCTTTTGCTTGTAGTATGAGGGTCTCGTTCTTGGGCTTCGCATTGTAGAGGTGTCGCATGTCGCAAGTGGTAATCATGGGCTTGACTTGTCCACCAAGCATCTTTTGAATGCGCGCGACGAGGTCGATCTTGAAATTGTATGCATCTTGCAGAATTTGTGAATCAAGCAGAACTTGGTAGGGTTCGCGGAATCCGAAGTTGACTTCATATTGATGGAGCTGCTTTTTGTATGCCTGTGTTGCTGTTAGTATAAAATATAGAGACGAGCATAAAGTAATTCGAGCCTACTTTTGCGCGCTTCAGCTTCATGGCGACGGTGGGTTTTGGTGTGGTGGATGATTGCGGGCAAGAAATTTACGTAGGAAGGCGGCCAAAAGTTCAAACTGCGCGCGGAACCTAGGCCGTGCACCAGACACGCTAACTGCGGATTCGGTACCCTGCGGCAGGTAACGACACCCCCGTCCCTCTCCGCATTCGTCTTGTAAATCCGCCCCGAGGGCACCAGGACCACTTGCTCCCTCTTCACCTACATAAACGCCGCGCCTTCCCACAATTGACGCCACACCGCTCGGCCTCCCCATGCGTCTCCTACGGTAGTCCCACCAGAATGAGCGAGAACCCCGCCGAGCCCTCCAAGAACGAGGGAAATAGTACAAAGACTACCGAAGCAAACAAAGACACCAGCCAAGAGGTCGAATATGACGACTTTGGCCTGCCGATAAGGAAAAGGCGACCACGCACTCCGGTCGAGGACAGCTCAGACTCGGAAGCAGACAAGTTTGAGGATGCCGTAGCTTCCAAAGCGGACAGCGCACAGCAGGCCATCGCGCCAAAGGCAAAGGAAGATACACCACAGGAAAAGGAGACCGAAATTGTGATTCCACCGGCCAAACCGGAGAAGATTGAGGCGGAGAACAATGCGCAGATTCAAGCCAACGTACAGGCCACGGTGCCAGTGGAGAATCCCAAACAGAAGGGGCTCAAAAAGATGCCTGAGGAACTGCCTGAGGAACTGCCTGAGGATAGACTCATAGAAACGAAACTAAATTCACCAGCACCCATAAAGTCTCCCTCAACCTCCGAGCCCCCGAAAGGCGTAAATGGATCCGTATCCGAATACTCACACCAACGCCTCGTCACACAGCCACAAGATGATTTCAAGGACAAGGTGGAGGATGATGACGATGATGGATGGCAGACCATGCCTGCGTATGCTCACTACGACATGTACGACGACGACAACAGGCTCATTGCGAAGGAGAATGCAGAGGAGCTGGAAGACATGCATGGCTATGGAAATGTCGGCGGAGCCGCCAAAGGTTATACCAGGGTTATTATGGACGATGACGCTGATTCGCAGACGAGTATGGATGACAACACCGCATATCTCTTCAAAGAAAAAAGTACTGCGTTGGCAGATGAAGATGAAGAGGGGCGAGATCCACGCCAACAGATGCAAGCCACCAAAAACATACTCACCGAAGGACAGCGTGTCGCATACGTCGGACTGGTACGATTGGCCACCAAAGAAATGGAAAGGAAGTTTTCCGATTTCAAGACAACTAGCAGAAGACTTAAGAAGCTGCTAGAGCTGCAGTCAGCAACGACAAAAATGTGGTCACAAAAAGTCATGGTCAAGATATATGCACACATGGATATCAATGCTTCTGAGCAGATTATGATTGAGCAACTCTCAGAGCATGGTGTAGTCCCGGCCGACCTCACGCCAGCATTAATGCAGAATGCACGGGTGAAGAACCCAGTAGCGGATGACATGGACACCGTCAGCGGATCAGGTTCTGCGAGACCATCTGTATCATCACCCCGTCCTGAAACCCCAGCAGACAAGTCCAAGTCGAAACATGCTTCAACACCAGGCTCAGAGGAGGGTCTTCAGTCACCGCCACCACCGCCCTACGATGAACATCAGGACGACGGCTACGACTACCCAGAGGCCAGATCGCCATCCCAACTTCCTTCCAGTAAGAATCTCGACATCGATTTGCGTTGGACAGTCTTGTGCGATCTATTCTTGGTGCTCATAGCAGACTCCGTATATGATTCACGCTCGAGAGAGCTTTTTGAACGAGTTGGCAAGTATCTCGCCGTAGATTGGCTAGAAAGCTGCCGCTTTGAGAAGCGTGTTACAGATGCTCTGGAGATGCAGGAGCAAGCTGACAAGGAGAACTGGAATGAAGATGAACACATGGTTGCTCGTGCCAGGCGAGCGCGGAACAAGCGGTTGGCGTTCATGGGTCTCGCGACCGTCGGAGGTGGTCTTGTAATTGGACTGTCAGCAGGTCTCTTAGCTCCTGTCATTGGTGCTGGTCTTGCAGCGGGATTTTCTACGATTGGTGTGGCCGGTACTAGCACTTTCTTGGCTGGTGCTGGAGGTGCTGCCATTATCACGTCCACTGGTGTGGTTACTGGCAGCACTGTTGGTGTCAGGGCCATGAACCGGCGTACAGGTGCAGTGAAAACATTTGAGTATCGGCCTCTTCACAACAACAAGAGAACCCATCTTATTATTACATTGGCGGGCTGGATGAATGGCAAAGTCGACGACGTCCGATTGCCGTACAGTACTGTGGACCCCATCATGGGCGACATTTACTCTGTCCTCTGGGAGCCTGAGATGCTTAGGAGCATGGGTGCCACCATCAACATTCTTGCTACTGAGGTGAGTGTGATGAGCAGGTTTAGAAACGCATATACTGACAGTGTCTAGGCTCTTACACAAGGTTTGCAGCAGGTTTTGGGAAGCACCATTCTCACAGCTCTCATGTCTGCTATGACGCTACCGCTTGCTTTGACGAAGCTTTCATATCTGATCGACAACCCGTGGATCGTTTCACAGGCTCGAGCCGACATGGCTGGTCTCATTTTGGCAGACTCACTTATCGACCGCAACTTGGGAACAAGACCAGTCACTCTCGTCGGCTTCTCCCTGGGCTCAAGAGTCATTTTCTCGTGTCTGAAGGAGCTTGCGGAACGTGGTGCATTTGGTATCGTGCAGAACGTGTATATGTTTGGTACACCAGCAGTGGCGAAATATGAAGATTACGTCAAGGCCAGGTCTGTTGTGCCCGGAAGATTTGTCAATGGGTATGCTACCAACGACTGGATTTTGGGTATGTTGTGTATTTCATGCTTTTTATGATTGGTGTTAACATAACCAGGTTATCTCTTCCGCGCAACTAGCGGTGGTGTTATGCGCGTTGCAGGCCTTGCTCCCATACAGGTCCCCACCATTGAGAACGTCAACGTGACTGAGCTTGTGCCTGGCCATATGGCCTACCGTGCTGTCATGCCCAAACTCCTTCGCGAAGTCGGGTGGGTTGTTGAATCGGACGAATTCGCCGAAATCGAGGATCCAGATCCGGACAACCACGAGCAGCGACAGCGCGAACTCATCAACGAGATTGAAGAAGCGAGAAAAGACCTGGAGAAGAAGGCGCAAGAGAAGGAGAAGAGAGGTAGTAAGCTAAGCTGGTGGAAGAAGAAGAAGGCTGCAAAGAACGAATGGGAAGTTTATGACGAAAACTCGAATGCCCCGCCTCCAGGCCACAAGAAACTAGACCAAGACCAGGATCCAGCGAAACTGGCAGAGAACCCGATCATGTTCGACATTGACGCGATACGAAAAGAAGTAGCGAGCCTGGCCGTCGAAACCAAAGAATACAACGCCGAAGCCGAATTCGAAATCAAAGAAATCAAATCGACCCTTCCACCCATGAAAATCGACATTGCTACTGTCCCTCCCTCTCAAGCAGGCAACAACCCGCACTCCAAACTCCGAGAGACTAAGAGCTACAACGACAGCCTTGGCACAGTCTTCACGCCCAAACCCAGCTCCAACGGAACCCACACAGCCGGCGGATGGGAAGAATACGACGAATTCGAGCACGAACAAGAGCACATGGAAATGACCTTTGACACGTCCTTCCGCGACCCAAGTCCCGCTCCTCACCATTCCAACTCCACCAACACCAACACGGCTACTAACAATGATAACAAATCATCCTTCCCTCCGTCCTCTTTACCAGCCCAGCCCATGCACTCGGACACGGCTTCCCTATGGGACGACGATCCCTTGTCGTCATCGCACCATCATCATACAGCGAGACCCCCGCTTCGCTCGGCCAAAACAGATTCTCATGTGACTGGTGGAATGGATAATGGTGATTTGGGACATAATGCGTGGGCGGATGAGTTTGAGGATGAGTTTGGTGAGGAGAAGGAGGTTAAGATGAGTTTTATGTAAAATTCGTTTCCAACACTGTTGTGGTTATTTTTTTTGTTGGTTATTATCATGCTTTTCCCCTCTCGACCTTTTCTTTTTTTTTTCCCTAATTGTTGTTCTGGGATATGAAAGGGAAAGAGGGGGGGGGGGGGAGGGAGGAAAAAGGGAGGATTGCTCTTTTTCGTTCTATTGGTATTTGCAACGTTTTTTTTTCTCATTGTTTTTAGCGTGCATTTTTTTTTCTTGGGTTTCTGGCAACTGGGACTGGCGGGGAGGAAGAAATGGATTCTTTGTTGGATGGGGATGGGGTGGCGGGTTTTTTTGGTGCTTTCTTTCTTTCTCATTGTAGACATTGCGCTCTCTCTCTCTCCCCGGTTTTTTTTCACTTCATCAGCGGGGGCGTTTGAATCCATTTGTTCTTTCTTCTACCTCTTGATTTTCACGTCTTCCTTTTTTTGTTGTTGTTGGGCGACATTGATTCCGAGGGATATTGGGGTTTGTTTGCATACCTGTGTTTTTTTTTCTGTTTTTGCTGCTGATCCATTGATATGGATGGCTATCTGTAATGGAGATGGATGTGGATGGGGGTTGTGTTTGGCTTTTACGTTCATGTGTAATGTACACGCATTTGTTTGGAGGATCTAATCGAGGTGGAGGCGACGAGAGGGAAAAGAACTAAGCTGCTAGATTGGATTGGATTTATATAGATGATATCAAATGAATTAGTTTGACGTATTTTTCTATTGACTAGATGCGTGAGTTGGCATTGTGTTTGAGTCTGGAAATGCTGGAGTTTTTGGCTTGGAAGTGTTCTGGTCTTCATTTCTGTATTGAGAGATAATATGTCGTTTTTCATTCTTCTTCTACTTCTTCTTCTTCTGTTTTCATAGATAAAGTTGGGTATGGTAATTCCAAAATCGTCCCTTGTGTCACACGATATACATGGTTCTATACAAATCAGCATCCTGCTGATCAGCAGCAAGCGTAGTAGCTGCAACCTCGCTATTCCTCTCCTTCGTAAATTCTCCACCCCGCAGTTCAAACCCAACCTCTTAACCCATTGCCTTCAGGAAGTTAGCTTCCTTGATCGATGCCCTCCGCTTATTCCGCATGGCTTTTGTCAATTCATCTCGCGCCTCTGCAGCCTGCACCGCGCCGGACAGGGTGCCATCGCCAGCTGGTAAATCAATGGTTTGTTCGTATAATGGCACCTTTGGTATCATCATTTCGGGGTTCTCGGCCTGTTCCTTTCGGAGACGCTTCGCAGCCAGACGACGCTGTTTCTTTGATTTGGCTGTGCGATTTTCGTTAGCAAATTGTTTCTTTTTTCCTTTTTATTGCAATTCAACGGGGGGATGGGAAAAACATACAGAACAAATCGCCCGCGCCCTTCTCCGCCTTCTTCTCCTGCCGATCCAGTAATGTCCACAACCAAGCGGGGTACTCGTCATCGGGCGCCGCAATTGGGTCTTGTCTGTCTTTCAAGAAATTGAGGCCTTTGAGTGGATGTCCCGCCGGTATGCTGCTCTTGATCAGGGGCGCAACCTTCTTCTTTGCTGCTTCTGCTGCCGCCGCTTTCACATCAGGGCCTGGGGCTGGCGTCAATGGCTCGCTAAAAGGTTGGGCGGCAGACGTCGATGTGGCCGTGGGCGGTGCGTGAGGAGACGACAAGTCGCCTTGGCGAGGTTTGGATTGCGTGGCTGTGGAACTGGAAATGGGTGTGGCATTGCGGAGGGGAGATGCGGTGGTGAAGAAGCGTGGGTTCTGTGGGCGGCGCAGAGAGACGGGCGGTATTTGGTGGGCGCTGCGCGAGGCGGCCCGCAGGCACGATCGACATATCATTTTTTTTTCCAATTGACGAGGAGAGGCAGTTTGCGGGGTGGGTTAGTCGACTAGGTGTTCCCAAGTGACGATACGTTCAAAAGTTTGAGACGACAAGGGAAGGCTGCCGAGGTGTTTCGCCGATGCCGGTTGAGGTTAGGCGATGAGATCCTACGTTAAATCAACACCCCGTCACGCTAGAGAAGCCATGTCGATGATCGTCTACATCCGCTCCGACTTGCTCTCTTAACAGATCGTGTTAAGATTTACGTGTACATGCACATGCGCCGGCCTGACAGCTTTGGATAGGCAGGTGTCGGACATGGCCTAGCACCTTCCCAATTTGAAAATTCCCCGTGAGCCCCCCGTCCCTCCATCGAGAACTCGGCAGGTGAGATGCATACGCAAGCATGATCTGCACGGTAGAGACACAAGCCCAAGACTGGCCAACTGCCGAGTCGTCAATGCACCATCATATAGTTATCATGTGAAGAACAGGTTGTGAATGACTGCTATGGGTCTGGCATGGAAGTGTGTTTCTTTCAATCTGGGATATGTACGTCTGAGACATAGACACAGTGTAACCACTGTACACAACATGGCCAAAAACAAACGACTGCGCCTGCGGTAAACCGCCTTTCCGAGTGACATCGTACAAGAGAGAACAAACGTGAGACATCGTTAAAGACAGTACGGGGTATTGCCCCAAACCTGGGATTGGGATTCCAGAAATGCCTGTTGCCCTTCCTTCGACCCAGACCAGCAGGTAAAGCAAAAAATATATAGAACAGGAGAAACTAAGATTAGACAAATGAGTGTGCGGGGGTTAGGCCGGAAATCCGCTAATATGTACAGACAAAATGAGACCGTGAGTGTCTAAGGTATCAAGCAACAAGCAACAGAGGCGATCGGAGTGACGCGGGGGGGTAAGAAAGTGGAGAGTTGACGGTGGTGGTCTCAGATCCAGGCCATGGCAGGAGCTTGGTGTGGCATACCAAACCGTTGGCTGAACAGTGGGCGAATCTCGACAAGATAGTCCGCAGCACAGTAAGCGGCCAGATTCCTTGACAGCATAGCGAAACGATCCGCTTCGGCCTCGGCGTCGCGAACTACGCCGCCAAACTCCTCGACGACCTCGTTGAGCTGCTCGAGTTCGCGGCCAAAAGGGTGACTCTCTTCTTCAATCGTGGCCTTGAACATGTCGAGTGACGATCGCTGTTCGCGCGAGCTCCGTACTGAGCCCACGCTTCCACGTGAGCTAATGCTACCCCGCGTACCCACGTTCTGGAGAGATCGCTTGTGAGCAAGTCGTTCATGGGCACGTTTGCTGTGCGAGAGGGCCCTCGCCGGGATAGTTGGAACTGGTTCGATAATTTCCTCCTTGACCTGCTTGAGACTGGTGGTTGAAGCAGATTTCCTCAGTGGTTTGCCACCAGACGGGAAGCCGCCGGCGTAGTTTGGAACTGGCGAAATAGGCGAGAGATCCACAGAGGAAGCATCCGTCAAGGTAGTGTCTCTGGATGCATGCGAAGAAGCACGGGAGCGTGTAGATACACTGTGGTCCGAGTCGTCTGCTGAGGAAGTTTGGGTTAGAGAGGCCATGGAGGATGCATTCTTGAGGCTCGAGATGTCGGGTGCGTTGTACGAAAGCATGTTGGTAGTCGACACGAGAGCAACAGGGAGAGAGATTTTGGCACGGTCGATGGAAGAGCCGTTCTTGACACTCTGGCTGCGAGTTGGGCGAGTGGGCGAAGTGGGCTCCTTGGGCTCCTCACTTCGCTTCATGCGCTTCGTCATTGCGCGTGCAAGAGACATATTGATGAATTAATTCTCAGGAAGGGCGATAGTGCCTGATAAGTGTTTAGCGGTCGGAGACAGGGCCGGTAATTCTAGCAGTGACCGTCGTTGGTCGCTCTAGGAATGCGGCGGCGCAGATAAGCGGGGTACTGCCGAAGATAAATTGCGCGTTTTGCTGGCACGAGGTGCAAGCAGTCGAGGGCTAGTGTTCCACTAATGCAACGGTTGCAGTATTCTGGAAGACACCAAGGCAGCGAGGTGCGGTGCAACAATGGTGAGGGTGGAGTTGGCCTGGTGGTACGGAGGTCACAAGGGGTGATGGCTTGGTGGTCCGGTGCACTTTGTTTGCAGTAGAGTCGATGCCCCGCGTTGGACGTTGCGGTTTGCTGTTGCTAGTGATGTCCTTGACAACTAGTGGGGGTTTTTTTTCAAAATTTTCTTGTTCTTTGGGGAATTGCTGGGCTCGCAGCGCGTAAAGAAGAAAGTATAAGGGTGAATGGGCAGTGGGTGGGTGGGGGGCCGAAGGGAACAAGGACCGTCTGTCAAAGAGCGTGGGGAAGGGTAGGGATGGTAAGGAGCGAACACCGGGCTGCGCAAAGGAATGGTTTTGCTGGGCGCGTAAGGCACAAAAAGGGAGGAGAGAAAGGCAGCGAAGAAGGGCGCGTGATGCAGCAACAGCGACAACGACGGGGCAGGCCTCTTGAAAAGCCAGAGAAGGGCAGCAGGGAGGACGGGCTGGGCTTTTTTGCGCTGTCTCCGAAAGATTGGTAGCCTGCACTGCCCCGGACCCTGCACCGGCGCCCCGTGCGTTTCGAGCGCCACTCCAATCAGAGCCCGTCGCCTCGTTCTCAGCGTCTCAGGTTAAGCCGGCTCTATTCTCCTGTTTGCTTGTTCCACCCTTCCACTGCGTCCGGTTGGGGCCTCGAGAGGACTCGCTGTTTCAATGCAGCCCAGGAACACTCCCTCCCGCTCCACTCTCGGGCGCCCGCCGCCCTTTTGCGCGTGTAGCTCCAGCCAGAATGGCATTGACAGCTGAAATGAAGCTCCTAAAGCGTCGTCAATACTTACTCACTGCCGCCCGCCGTACGCCGCTCGCTTTTATCCGCGAATCGCTGTTCACCACAATCCCACTCTGCCTCAACGCGCAATTTGTCTATTCCCATGCCGTCACCCCCAAACTCTAATTAGTCTCCGCTGTGCCCACACCGGACGCGCAACCACACTGTTCCTGTTGGCTGCTTACTCTAGACCTAAAGCATCTACTTACATACTTAATATTCACGTCGCCACACACGTCTGAGCGCGCGCGTACAAAGCGAGCTCCCCTCTTTACTGCTTATAGCAACCCCCCGTCCGATCTGTACTTCTGCCATGCCCGGCGTCAGAGTTTCAAACCTCACTGGCAGGACCGAATGTGACGAGGGTGTGCCCTAATCCGGTCCCAGTAATGAGGCCATCGAGCCAGACCAAGACCTTCCTTCAGGCGGACCCACACCCGGCAGCCAGTCTCCGACTGCAGGCTGCGAACGTTGATCTGCCGCTATACGCTAGCATTGACCTGTCTTCGCTTCTCGAGTACAATCCATTACGCCAGCTGTAGGAACACTTGGTCCGCCATCAAGCCATGTTTACGCCCGCGTCTCCTGCTGCCCTAGGGTCCCGCGCCCCAAAAACTAAAGTTAGTCTCTGCCATCATTCATACTGACGTCGATATCACCACCCATCACCAAGCCATGCAAGTTTATGCGAGTCAGGTGAGATGAAAGGGACTTGCAAAACAAAGGGCGGAGAGATCGGGGATTCGGACACTTGATGAAACGCGCACGGACCACTCTATCCGAGGAAACATGACTAAACACCTTATACTGCGTTTCGCCAAAAAGCTTCACAATGGCCCTCCGTCACGCCAGATCAAAACTCGTCGGTTCACAATCACACAAACATCGTCATATCCCGAAATCTTCGGTCCGCTGCCCAGCTCCTCGTCGCCCAGGGTATCTTCGCCTACTACTCCTCCATCGACTCCCATCCCTTGTCATCACCATCCTCCCCTTCCTCGTCATTGCTCTCTCCTTCTTCCGAATCAGAATCCGTGTCTTCCTCTTCCAGACCCACGAGACGCTCCTTGCCATCTCCCCTAACTGCAGGCACCTTGCTGGCAAAAGCTGCACGCACCGCTGCATTGGTGCTCGTATCCCAAATCTGCACGGCGCCTTTGCTTCCTGCTACTGCCAGTCGGAAACCCACTTCGTTATCAGGGGCAAAGGATGTGGAGAAGACCTTGCCCACGCCCAAGTCTCGCGACACCACCATGCTCGGCCCGCTTTCTTGAATGTTCCACAGTTTTACTTGCTTATCCGTAGAGCCCGTTGCCAAGTAACCAGGTATCACCGGGTTGATGTCAAACGACGAAATAGACTCGTCATGGGCCTGTAATACCCACACAGGTTTTGAGGCAGACGCATCTTTTGGTGCGTTGCGAGCATCGTGATAGTGTATCATGCCGTTTTCAGTCGAGACCTGACAAGGGTTAATGCCGCATCATCAAGTTTGGCCTTGCAACACTTACATAGAAATAGTTCGGGTCGTGAGGATTCCACCGCACGCTTTCGACATCACTCTCAACGCCCCACCGTGGTGCTTTTGCCTCGGGTGCACGCATATCGGCTACCACCACTGTGCGGTCGTAGCTACCACTCAGAAGCGCAGTAGACTCGACAGGGTGCCATGCTACAGAGCACACCTTGTCTGTGTGATACGTGTATGACTTTGCGCATTTGGTCGTGTTCAAGTCCCATAGCTTGATGGTTTTATCAGCCGACGACGAAGCAAGAAGGTTGCGGTGGTGGCGGTTGGCCGCGAGCGAGAGTACAGAGTCAACGTGGAACTCGTCGTTGGCCTTCCTGGACTTCTTCTTCTTTTTCTTGGGCTTGTCGGCCTTTGTCGCATCGTCAGCACCTTGTCCTAGTACCGCATCTGGGTACATGCTGTCCACCACGTCCAAATTCCAAATCTCAATATCTGGGTCCATAGTTCCGATGGCTACAAAGTTACCCTTGCCTTCGCTGGTACCCACAGATTTGCCTACGGGCAGATCTAGCCACTCAACAGCCAGTGGGATGGCAGGCAGCATAATGTCGTGATGTACGTAGAGATTATCGTCCTCGTCTTCGTACACATAGACCTCAAGATGTGCAACTTCGTCTTCTATCCTTCCAGCCAATACCAGGTTGTCTGTGGCCAGAATCTGTAGCTCTTCTCGATCCTCCTCATCCTCTTCATCTCCACCCTTCATGGTGATGTACGGGTCGTCTTCGTCGTTCTCGTGGAACACTAGGTTCTTTGCGTTGCCGAACATGGCCATAGTGTCGCCTTGGTCCTGGGCGACTTCATCGTCGTAGTGCTCAAGGTCGTATTCTTTGAGATCGTCGTCATCGTCGCTTCAAACAATTAGCCTTGAACTCTAAGTAATAAAAAAGTAGCACACTCACTCGTCATCTTTTTTCTGTGCTTTGCTTGAAGTTCCGTTGCTCTTAGCCTTCTCCTCAGCTTGCGCCTCTTCAAGTTCTTCCTTAGCGTCTTCCAGCTGTAGATTTGCAAGTTTCGATATGCGCTCATATTCTTCCTCGTCGAATTGGTACCTGGTAGGGAAAGGCGCCGCAAAGCCACGCGGCACCCATGTCGTCGCTGTGATCATAGACATTGTTGCGGTATTGTGTGAGAAGATGCGCAGTGAGAGCGCAAGTTGCGTGGGGAACTTTTTCACAGGTTGGAAATAATTTTGGGCGGCCCCGCAACGATTGGCTAAAGCTCCCGTCCTATCGATAATTGCGGACCTCCGAGCATCAACTTTCCCGCCATCTCGACACCAACAACACCACGCCGAGTCTACACCCCACTATATATATTCTTTTCTCGAAAGCAGCACCCAGAGTCTTTATCGTCATAATGGAACGCGGTCATAGCCCCAAGCGGCGAAAGCTCGACCCCGAAGAATACTCGATCGCGCCTCGTCCAAAGTTTCGCAAACCCAACAAGCCCGCGTCCTCACGCGCGCATACGCCCAAAGCCAACGAAGATGGCGCACACCCAGCCCAGGAATCATTCGAAGGTCCCGAGCCCCTCGTGGACGACTTCGACTCAATGGCACTTGACCGCGACTGGTATGGCGGTGAGGAGAACGGACATACCTTTGGCGACGATACGCATAACCCGTTTGGCGGTGCTGAGAGCTCATGGCTGGACGCACAACGGGAGGCTGCTTTGACAGAAAAGAAACAGAATAATCGGGCGAGCATGAGGGCTCAGCAGAAGCAAAAGGATGTTGATGCGTGGGAGACGAATCGAATGCTCCAATCTGGGGTCGCCCAAAGAAGACATTTCGATGATGACTTTGACGATGATGAAGAGAGCATGCGCGTACACATCCTTGTACACGAGCTCAGACCGCCCTTTCTGGACGGAAAGACTGTCTTCACCAAGCAAATCGACCCAGTCCCAGCAGTACGAGATCCTCAGAGCGACATGGCAGTCTTCAGTCGGCGCGGCAGTCGCGTGGTCAAGGAAAAGAGGCAGCAGAAAGAGCGGCAAAAGCAGACGCAGGAAGCCACTAGCGCGAAAGGAACCACACTGGGCAATATCATGGGCATCAAGGAGGAGGATACAGACAGTGCTGCGCCTGGTCCAGACGAAGAAGAAAAGCAGGGTGGCAGCAAGTTTGCACAGCATCTGAGCAAGCAGGAAGGCGCAAGTGCTTTCAGCAAAAGCAAGACACTTCGAGAACAGAGGGAGTATCTCCCAGCCTTTGCTGTCCGAGAAGATCTACTCCGCGTGATTCGAGACAACCAAGTAATCATTGTTGTCGGCCAAACGGGTTCCGGAAAAACTACCCAACTAACTCAGTTCCTCTACGAAGATGGCTATGCTAAAAACGGGCTTATTGGCTGCACGCAACCGCGTCGTGTCGCAGCCATGAGTGTGGCGAAGCGTGTGAGCGAAGAAATGGAGGTCAAGCTGGGTGGTTTGGTTGGTTATGCGATTCGTTTCGAAGACTGCACTAGCAAAGAAACCAAGATCAAATACATGACTGATGGTGTCTTGCTCCGAGAATCCTTGGTTGAGCCTGACCTAGACAAGTACTCTTGCATCATCATGGATGAAGCGCACGAGAGAGCCCTTAATACTGACGTGTTGATGGGCCTTCTCAAAAAAGTCCTGGCTCGAAGACGAGATCTCAAGCTAATCGTTACTTCGGCTACTATGAACGCGGATCGATTCTCGCGCTTCTACGGAGGCGCGCCAGAGTTCATCATCCCAGGACGAACATTCCCTGTAGACATTCAGTACTCGCGATCGCCGTGCGAGGACTACGTCGACAGTGCTGTGAAGCAAGTCTTGGCCATACACGTGTCACAAGGACCTGGTGATATTCTAGTCTTCATGACGGGCCAAGAGGATATTGAAATCACTTGCGAACTTGTTGCAGAGCGACTCAAACTGCTGAACGACCCGCCAAAACTTAGCATCCTTCCAATCTACAGTCAGATGCCTGCCGATCTGCAAGCAAAGATTTTTGAGCGAGCAGCCCCAGGTGTACGAAAAGTCATCGTAGCAACCAACATTGCAGAAACGAGTCTGACTGTTGATGGTATCATGTATGTTGTCGACGCCGGATTCTCTAAACTCAAAGTCTACAACCCCAAGATGGGCATGGACACGCTACAAATCACGCCCATATCTCAAGCAAACGCTTCACAACGTGCTGGTCGCGCTGGACGCACTGGTCCTGGAAAATGTTTTCATCTGTACACTGAAAGAGCATTCAGAGACGAATTCTACATCCAAACGATACCAGAAATCCAGCGGACGAACCTCGCTAACACGGTCCTACTGTTGAAATCTCTCGGTGTACGGGACTTACTGGACTTTGACTTTATGGACCCGCCACCTCAAGACACAATCACAACCTCACTCTTTGATCTCTGGGCCCTCGGCGCCCTCGACAACATTGGCAACCTCACTGACCTAGGCCGAACCATGACGGCCTTCCCCATGGACCCCTCCCTTGCCAAACTCATCATCACAGCCACGGAATACGAATGCAGCGAAGAAATGCTCACAATCGTCGCCATGCTCTCCGTCCCCTCGGTCTTCTACCGCCCCAAAGAGCGCCAAGAAGAATCCGACGCAGCCCGCGAAAAATTCTTCGTCCCAGAATCCGACCACCTCACCCTCCTGCACGTGTACACGCAATGGAAAGTAAACGGCTACTCCGACGGCTGGTGCATCCGGCACTTCCTGCACCCCAAGGCGCTGCGCCGCGCAAAGGAAATCCGCGACCAGATCCTCGACATAATGGGGAAGCAGAAAATGCCCTTGATATCCTGTGGAACCGACTGGGACGTCATCCGCAAGTGCATCTGCTCAGGCTACTACCACCAAGCCGCAAAAGTAAAAGGCATAGGCGAATACATCAACCTCCGCACCTCTGTCACCATCCAACTCCACCCCACCTCCGCCCTCTACGGCCTCGGATACCTCCCCGACTACGTCGTCTACCACGAACTCATCCTCACCTCCAAAGAATACATGTCCTGTGTTACCGCCGTCGACCCCCACTGGCTGGCGGATTTGGGCGCCGTGTTTTATTCCATCAAGGAAAAGGGGTATTCAGCGCGGGATAAGCGGATTGTCGAGACCGAGTTTAACAGGAAGGCGGAGTTGGAGAGGCAGATGGCTGAGGATAAGGAGAGGGAGGAACGGAGGGTCGCGGAGGAGGAGGCGGGGCCTGTGGTGAGGAAGGTGGGGAAGGTGAAGAAGGGCGAGGAGGGCGAGGGGGTGGTTAAGAGACCGGTGGTGGGTAAGTCTAAGTTTAGGCGGAGGTAGAGTGTGGAAAGGAAGAAGTGGTGTTGTTTTATGACGTGACGAGGGGGTTTATTTTTCTAAGTGACTTATTGAAGAGTTGTTTATAATGGAGCTTTACCTCCTACTACATGGATGAGGATTGTTAATGGCATGTACTATCTTCTTGAACAAAAAAAGAAAAGACGCCGCTGTGGCTTTCGTACCCTGATGTTGCGCTCAATTATACGTTATCAAGATCAATTGGCGCCGTATCTTTCGTGTCATTCCAACTCTTTAGCTGTCCTCCCCGCTACATAAAAAAAAGCCGGGCTACTACAAAGGAGGCAGGAAACGCTCGCTAGATAAACAATATATATCTTTTCCTAGGCACCTATGCGCCTGCTCTCAAAATTCTCCACGTCCCCTACCGCCCCTACCCCGTCTACCTCCACGCTTCTTGCGGTCCCAATTACCCCTAAACCCACGCCCACCCTGATGTCCATTCCTCTCGTCCCGCTCCCGCTCCTCCTCTTCCCTCTTCATCATCTCGCGCTCACGCTCCAACTTCTCCGCCTCAAGCTCCTCAGCGCTCTTCTCCACACGCGCCTCAGGTTTCTTGAGATCAGTAGGATACCGCGGGTGAGCACCGTACTTGCAGCCTTTCCCCTCTGGACAAAACCCGCACAGGTAAAACGGACACAGCTTGTCTTTCTTGTTGTGCTTCAGCGCACAGTGTGGACCGAGTGGACAGAAGCCGCGGTCGTAGTGTGGGCACGAGGGGCGCTTAGCATCTGGGTCCAGATGCAGATAGAGACAGTCGTCGCCGTTGGAGCAGGTTTGTGTGCGGGCGTAGTAGGAGCATTCGGGCATGCGGCGGAGGTTGTATTCGTGGAGGAATTCGCAGGTTTCGCCTTTTTTGCAGAGGCCGCGCAGCCAGTGTTTACATACGAGACTGTGGTGTTGAGTGTCAGCCTGCTGGCATTTGATATGGGGGTGAGCTACTGGATGACGTACTTATTGTAGGACGAAGAGACATTGTGCTTGTTGGGGCATTTGCTGCCGTCTGGACAATGGCCTTGGAGGTACGCTTTACAGGTTGGGCGATCGGGGTTTAGGCCAAATCGGTATTCACGTCTAAGAAACTCGCTGAACTTGAAGGTATATTGAGGTGGCCGGGCCTCGGCGGGTTTTTCTTCTGATATCGGTACCGCTACGGATGCCATGACCTCTGTCATTATTGGTGCACTTTGTTGCAACGCGTGGGGAAGTGGCCTCGCGTTGTGCTCTGATAGCTGATGCGCACGATTACGGTTGATACAGTATAGCGTAATATTGTGATGTAGAGTGCTTTCTTTTGCGCTGAAAAAACTGTGTTACAATAGGCGACTTCGAATCTTCAATGTAGGTCCGGTGGTTATGTGGGGTTGGTGTTTGTGGCTGGAGCACAACTGTATGTAGTTGCAGTCGGACTGACGCAAACGGTTCGTCGGAGCGCGCAATCACGTGATTGTCAAGCGGTGGTTACAACATCCAACATTCTTTTCCATATACCTGCAACTCTTGTGCAACTTACCAGATCAGTCTTGCACGGCACCTCCGTCTCACTCTAGCGCCTTGTGCTTCCCTCACGCCGACCTATCAGTGACTTCTGGAATTTGCGCGTGCCGTCGAACCGAGTGGCACAGCTGGCACAGCCTTGGAACCCCACACTTATGTTGCGCCACAGCTTCTACCTTGGTTTTTGGAGGCTTGCTGACACGTTCTACATAGGTGTGCGCACCCTTATCAATCTTTTCGTAACAAGATGTTTCTGTGCCTAGAAATACATCTCTGTATGATTTCCATTGCGTGCACTCTCTATCTTTATATATGATATTGGATGCTTCTTGGCTACGTACTCCTCTCGGATGTGCAATACTACCCATAACACACCCTCTCATCTCTTCTTACAAATGCACATTAGATTCGAGCCGGATAGATTTAAACTTTCCAAGCCGTTTTTTTAGTGCGTCAGCGTGCAAATCACGAGAACACAGTATTTTGGGACATCGCGGCCTGACCTACAAAGCAGAGCGACTCTGGCTCGCGCTATCCATAGATCTTAACCAACACCACCAGTTTATTCGCAGTCTATTCAAATATCATACTGGGCTTCACCGTCTATCGCATTGCAAAAACAGAAGCAACTATAGCAAGTCCGGCAGCTAAGGCATCACCTGCTTCAGGCTAAGCAGCATGTCGATTGATATCCAATGCAACCACCAGTTCATTACATCATCGAGCGGCCTGTAATACCGCTATTATCTACTTCACGTGTATATACAAGGTCGTGTAGACGGCGCTCCAGAGTCTCTTCAGACATTTGAAATCATACCATCCACCATCTTCCTAGCCAATTTCCATTGCCAAAGTACAGATTCACGAATACTACTGTCTTCCATTACGTACCGACCCCCACGTATGCTCCAAACAAATATCTCACACACACAAAAAATTGTTTAACCAACAAAATTGTGCGGAGCTTCCGATACCCGTAGAGCTTTGATCTTTCCAAGCAACAGATACGGGTCCTCTTACCTGCAGGATACCCTGACGTGCAGGCAGGCTAAGCATTTAAAGCTGACGACGAACCGAACAATGAGCCGAGACTACTTCAACCACCCACTTGATCACAACACCACATTTTCCACACCGCTGCAAACTATGTATTGGAACGGGGTTTACTATCCTAACTGGCGTATCTATCGCGACCAACCGCCCGTGTCGTTGAACTACGACGTCATTTCGCATGTCTTCTATGCGTTTGCCTGGTAACGTTGGAATCTCGGACATTCTCGGATAGTGAGTGCTAAGGTGATGACAGGGTTAAGGAAGATGGGACGGTATATGTATGTATATTTGTTTTTTTCTGGACAAATCTTAGACTGACTTGTTTAAAGCTGAGCGATGAATGGGCAGATACGCAGATCGATGTTCCAGGCGTTGATGACATCCCTGCAACAAAGGGCTGTCTGAACTCGTTTGCACTTCTTAAGAAGAAGTATACAAGGCTGCGAGTAGTGCTCTCTGTCGGTGGTGGCGGCAAAGGTAGTGAACCGTTTGCAGGCGTTGCTCGAGACCCGGCTTGTCGTGAGCGCTTTGCACAGTCATCCTTGGCTTTGGTGCAGCAATTCGGTATCGATGGAATTGACAGTTGGTTTCCCCTCATCTCAGTAACGACAAAAGTACTAAAAAAAATTACAGTCGACTGGGAGCACCCGGCCGATGCCAGTCAAGGCCAAGACTACATTGCTCTTCTAGCCACAATCCGGCAGTACCTCCCAGCCCCTCAGTACACATTGTCCTCTGCTCTTCCAGCCGGCGAATGGGCTCTCCAGCACATCAACCTAGGACACGCGTCCCAATATCTCGACTTGGTCAACCTCATGGCGTACGACTACTCCGGACCGTGGGTGAGTAAATGCGGGCATCAAGCACAGCTCTTCACACCACCCGACCCCCACTGCCCCGAAGCCGCGATTTCCTGTCACTCGGCCGTCTCGTACATGGTCAACCAGGGCGTCCCACAACACAAAATCGTCATGGGCGTCCCGGCATACGGCCGCAGCTTCACGGGCACCCGTGGTATCGGCCACTCGTTCTCGGGACAGGCAGGCGAAGAAGGCACGTTTGAGTACCGCGACCTACCGCGCCCGGGTGCAGAGGAGCATGTCGACGAGCAGGTTGGTGCGGCGTACTGTGTTGGAGGCGACGGGGGGCTCGTTACTTACGATACTCCGCAAACGGTTAGGATGAAAGCGAACTATGTGCGTCAAAATGGACTAGGCGGGTTGTTTTACTGGACGGGAACGGGAGATGTCAGTTCGATTACGCAAAAGGATCGCAGTCTGGTGTATAACGGCTTTCTTGCTTTGTTTGGGCAGTAGTTTGTCCAATACAGGTAAATGCATATCATTCTTCAAATCAACATTGTTGATGACTAGTGTATTGTGGTGTGGGATCAACGTTCGTGTGCGACGCTTGTTTCTGGATATGTACGGCTTTTGTTGAGCAACATGTTAAAATTAGGCGGCCAGATGACGAGAAGCTATATTGCGCTGTACACCACGTACTTCCTTCCCACATGGACATTGTGGCCACGGTTTGCGACTCTGGAGAAGGCAGAGCACATCGGCAAGATATACGCCTGGGAGACTTGGACAAAGGTACGAGCACTTGATCCACATACTCATCTTCTACGCTGATCGATTCCAGAATATCAGCAGAAGCTTTCATAGTTTACAGTCCGTTGGGTATAAACTTTTCTTATAAGAAGTTTTCCGTCACCAACTTTTCCGTAGACACGTCTTTGGGAGGCGGATTACTGCATTCTGTAAGGATTTATCGTGCGGAGACTGATTGAATATGCTGACAAGTAGCAGTCATTCGAGGTTTTATTCTTCCACACTGGCTCCAGAACATTGGATCGACCGTTTACCAGAGCAGGTCGAGCAGGCTGGCCATATATCGAAATCAGGTAACTTGACATGGGGAATATGTAGTCAATTCGAGACGTAAAAAACCTCCTGCGCATCTTGAAACAGGACGATGACTTCAAAACTAAGCTCGATGAAGTGCTCCTAGGTGATGATACCGAGGATCTCCGTAAAGATGTAGAATGGAGAGCCGGTCATGTTGGAAAGAATGTCAAACATTAGGAGTTTGCGGAAGCCGACTTGCCATGGCGATCATCAGATGGCAGCCAATCCAACATGAATGGTCCGTCACAAGGCATTCGAGCAACGAAGCTTGAGCAAGCCTCGTAGTCTTTGACACGACACCCTCAGCTAAAAAGAGGCGTATCTTGCAAGAAACCCACTACGACGTTTCCACAGAGACGATGGTAAGATTTTCCCTACTTAAGAGAAGCAGGCTAGGTATTTCACTCAGACTAGTTTTTTTTGTTGACTCAGCGCAAACATGCGATACTACTTCCATATGCCAAAACAACCCCTTTTTAGTCTCTAATAACCAGCCTCACAATCCGTTATTTCCGCTTCTTACTTTCCAGTTTCACCTCGTTACTTTAACTATGAATCTGAAAAAAAAGTAAGGGAATCATCAACACAAACTCGCACGGGCAACCCCGGGGTTTTCCTGGCTACCGCGAGGTAATGTATGTGGGGGAACCGGTGGTGGTGGCCGTTTTGGCCACATGGTATGTTTGCCGATGTGTGTTTCAGTGCGGGGAGACGGCAGATGGTTTATTAGCGGTCGAGATGGCGATTCGGTATGTGAAACACCCCTCTACTACCATCCAATCCTCACTTTCACCTGTGAGAACGGGAGAAAGGGGGGAGTGTGGTTGGCCCATTCCATCCACCTACTTACGCACCAGGAAAATGGGGAACAAGTCCAGACCAAGCGGTGAATGGGGAGGTTGTTTCATTAGCCTAACGACCAAAAAGTCGTAGTAATAACCACGTGTACCCTGCTGCTATTCAGCTAGGTGGATAGTAGTAGCAAACTCTCAGCCAAGCCATGAGCATACTATCGCTTATCCCCTGCATCTGGAACTCTGACGTGCAGGAGCGATGACAAAGATGCGCTTGGAGTGCTTTCTCATATCGCCCGGTAAGCCATGTGGCGTGCTGTATACAACACAGGTGGACATTGCGCCGTTTGCACTTTTGCTGCGTCTGAGACATCGGATGGATGGGGGTTAGAATGGACACTCCGGCGTGCTTTGGTGAGGAAAAGTGTGTGGCACGGCGGGTGTAGGGCTATGCGGTGTTGCTACATACATACAAAGCCTTGAGGAACGTCGTGAAACTTGGCAACGTCCACGCATCATCGATTTCCTGTTTCTAGAATTTATTTATTAGTACTCTAGATACAACATCACCAGCGCAGGCAGAAACGATAACAACCCGGACAAAGGCCGCCCCGTCGGGGTCTCGCATCCCGCCCCGACTTTCCCACTCGGGCAAACAACCCTCCGTCTCACAGCGCTCCGGTTCGCCAGCAAAGGGCGACGCCGCACGTTTTCTTTAGCGCGCGCAATGCGGCTGCCGCTTGCTCACCACCACGTCATGACTGGGCGAAACAAAACAACGGTCGGAGTGCCCAATCCTCCCAGATTGGCGCGATAAGCCAATTGGACAGTGTCAAATCAAGCAGACGGCGTGGAAAGAAGCGGTGCGTACAGCTAGATTGTCGAGGGCAGAGCGCACGGGCCACCGTTAAAGCATATACACCACGGAGGCTGCAGCTTTGAGGCTGAACTAAGGTGGTGAGCTAGGTAAGTAGTGGGTTTTTGGATGGAGCGGAGGACAAAGTTGGGCCGAGGAGATGGCGTGCTCGTGGTTGGGTGGTCTTACTGTGCGCCCGCCCCGAGTGATGGGTGTGTGTTGTGGCTTTACGCCCTGTGATAGAGGGAGAACTGGTGAGTCGTAAAACGGACAGTGTGTATGTATATGTATGATGGCTGCTCTCGGTCTTGTAAAGAGAGTAGGCAGCACTTGGTATATATTTTTCGGCGGCTTCTTGCGTCTCTCCTCTAGCCTTCGAGGATATCGTGCGTAGTCTATACATATAATTCGGATTCTCTCTTCCCTATTCACACCAAGGCTCAAAAACAAGAGTCATGGCGAGTACGTCTGTACAGCCGCCCGAGGACGTGGTCAAGCCTGCGCTGCCTGTCTCAGAACCCGTGAGCGAGGCGGCATCCGAGCAGGTGGATGCAGTAGAAGCGGAAAAGTTCCAGCCAGGATGGCGCTTTCTAGCTGCTTTTGGTAGTCTATGTATCATAACGCTCATGGCGGCGTTGGATGCTACTTCCATCTCCGTTGCTCTTCCAGTAGGTTTTGCACAATTCAGAAAGATGGGAGGCATTGGGTGACTGACAATCTCCAGATCATGGCAAGGGCACTAGGCGGGTCTGCTATCGAAGCATTTTGGAGCGGCACTTCGTTCCTATTGACGTCGACCGTCTTCCAGCCAGTGATCGGATCCTTTTCGCACATTTTCGGGAGAAAGTCATTGATCTATATCAGTCTTGTATTCTTCCTGATTGGTTCCATTATCCCCGCTGTGGCTGACAACTTCACCCTCATCCTGATCGGGCGGTCTATCCAAGGTATCGGAGGCGGAGGTATCATTTGCCTCACAGAAATGGTAGTTGTAGACACTGTGCCTCTGCGGGAGCGAGGAAAGTGGCTTAGCTTCTTTGGTGCCATGTGGTCGATTGGCACCGTAGCTGGACCGCTTCTCGGTAAGCAATATGCAGTGCAGATGCAAAAGGACAGTAGCTAACGACAATAGGTGGCGGCTTTTCACAAAACGTTAGTTGGCGATGGATCTTCTGGATCAACCTCCCATTCATTGGCATTGGCGCTGCCATGATCACCATCTTCCTTAAGCTCAACCAGAAGCATGGGGCTTTCCTAACCAAACTCCGCGAGGTGGACTGGATCGGCATAGTGCTCTTCCTTGCCTCGACCACTGGCTTCTTGATTCCCGTTACCTGGGGCGGGGTGCAGTATCCGTGGGACTCGTGGCGCACACTTGTGCCACTTATTGTGTGCGGTGCTGGCATGGTTGGCTTTGTCTTGTATATTGAATTTGTGGCCGCCAACCCGCTCATTCGCACGTCCGTCTTTAAGAACCGGTCTGCTGCCATTCTCTATACTGCCACGGTAATCCACGGCATTATCTTGTGGGCCATCCTATACTACCTACCACTGTACTTTGAAGCGGTCAAGGGATTTGGGCCAATTCTTACTGGGGTTGCTTTGTTTCCATGGACGTTTACAGTGGCTCCAGCCTCGATCGCGACGGGTGTTGCTATTGCCATCCTGGGCACGTACCGATGGGCCAACCGGGCAGGGTGGTTCCTTGCTACTCTGGGCATGGGTGTGCTGATAGTAATCAAAGTTGACACGTCGACTCCAGCGTGGATCTTTATCAGTCTCGTTGGTGGGATAGGAACAGGTATCCTGTAAGTGAGAATTGCTGATGAAGAAGAACAAGGGGCCCTAACGATTGCCTAGTTTTCCTGCCATGGCATTGGCCGTGCAAGCCAGCGCGACCGCAGCGGACCAGGCGTATGCTGCCAACATGTTTTCCTTTTTCCGCGCATTCGGCCAGACACTGGGAGTGGCTATTGGCGGGGTCGTGTTCCAGAACCAGATGAAGAAGAAGATGCTGACGTTCCCACTGCTGGCTGACTTCGCGGACGAGTATTCTCAGGACGCAGCTGGGCTGGTTCGCATCATCAAGGAGATGCCTGGCGGAGATATGAAGGACCAACTAAAAGAAAGCTACACGGACGCATTAAAGTACATCTGGATAGTCATGCTGGTGTTCAGTGCGGTGGCTATGATTGGCAGCTGGTTCATCGAGGCCTATGATATGAATGGGGCCATGGACCAAGAGAGGGCGTTTGTCGACAAAGACAAGGTCAAGGATATGGAAAAGAGCAGTAGCCCGTAATGCGGGGAGGGGTATAGAACTTGTTTTGGGAGAAGCATCGACAAAGCATCTAGATTTTGATGGGGCACATTTAGAATTAGACGGATGTGATATGAAGCATTTCTTGTAGCGTACGCGGTAGTTAGTCTCTAATATATAATACTAAATCGTGTCTCGACTTTTGGGGTTGTGGCTGGATTGAGTCAGCATGTGCAATTGAGATGCAGACCCACTGCTAATAGCACCGCCAACGCTTTTGCATCAGTCATGGACGCGCGCAGAAAGCTTCGAGTATTTTTGGCGAAAAGGCGGGCGGGATCTGCTAGAGCCGGGACCGGGCGGCGGCCTCGTTGGAATGTGAAACACGCCGTCTGCCGTTGACAAGGGAGATCAGTGGCAGGCGTGCGTCATGGCAGAAACAAGGCGTCGTAAGAATGACGAGTCCAAGCGGAGAAGTAAGCAAGAATGTATGCAGGGCGAAGAAAGGGAGAAGATTAAGGAGTATTGCAAGTGACGAGGATGGTGCAGGAGATTGTGGTGGTGGTGGTGGTGGTGGTGGTGGTGGTGGTGATGGTGATGGTGTGGTGATTGGGGTCGACCGGCAGTGACCCTGCAGGCGAGCGAAAGTAGTAGGCGCGTGCCTGGGGCACGATGCCAAGCGGTCCTGATCTCGGGTGAGGCAGTGAGACAGGCCATGGCTGCTCACCATGAGTTTAAAGTGCAGATGACAGCAGAAAAAAAACACAGATGGCATGCGATAAAGGTGACAATGACAGAAGCCAAAGGCCGTGTCGAGCTGTCGCACAAAGACTATTTGAGGCGGCAGGCGGGTGGGAGGCATCATGGCCAGCGACAGGAACGGCAGGCTGTCAAGGGTAAATTAGGACATGCAGCAGCTATATCGCGGCCATGTGCGGGCAGACCAGACAACGGCGATGCAGCGAAAAAGCATGTTAGCGGGAGGGTTAGGTCGGCAGTTTAGATGAGCTTTTTTGGACGCTGTCCACTTGCCCTGCGTCGTCCATGCATGGCGAAAGGGGAGTTTGGGAGTGCGAGTGGGAGCAGGCTCTTGTGCTTGTCAGCCGTTAGGCACGTCGAGACTAGGCCTAGGCCCGTTAGCCGAGGAGCGGCCTGGCCAATCAGGCTGCTTCTCATCGGGCCACCCGGGTCTTGTCTCTGATGGCGCTCCCGAAAGGAAAGGCACACACCCCCCTTGACTCTCACGCCTGTCTCTGACAACACCCGTGTACCTTTGCGAAAAAGCAGCGCGGGAGGGCGGCCACCCTTCGATCCCACGCACATCCTCCCCCTCACCTCAGTCATTCGTTTCAGCATTCCAGCAAAGCAGCTCGCTGCACCTAATATCACACAACCACCCCCCCTGGACCCCGATTCCACGTCCCTACTTCACCGCGCGCCAAGCAACCCTCGCCGGCAGCTCCTTCCCGCCTATACTACGCCTCACACACTACACGCGTGCAAGAACGACCGACCGACCGGCCGCATCGTCGCCTCAGCCACCGGCCTGCAAACAACGTCACCATCACCTTCACTTTCACCTTTTCCGTAATCATCACCACCATCACTACACGTCGTCTCGTGCCCATGCCGAACCGGCCCACCTCCTTCTGCTGAACCCATTCTCCGACCCTCGCATACGACCCTGTATTATTTCCGTCCATCGCGCCACCCACTGCTGCCATGAGGGATTCATTCGCTGCCCTCCTGCGCACAGGGGCTGGCAAGCTCGTCCTTTCGCTGCTGCTCGCCTCTCCCACGACAGCAATCACCTTCAACCCCGTCCCGGTCCCTCCGCTTAGTCTTGGCGACTTGGGCCGCATAGCTTTTACTGGCGACTTTGACTCAATATCGCTATACCAGTACCAAGGCCAGAGCCAGCAATACCCCGGTCGCAATGGCGCTCTACTCTCCCGCTACCCTAATGGTGTCTTTGCTACCATCAACGTTACCGATGCCGACATCAAGGCCATGTGCACTCTGCCCATCAATGGCGCTGAACGAGTCGTCTTCGCCGGCAACTTTACAGGCGTCGGCAACATGCCCACACCGGGAGGCATTGCCCTGCTTGATCCCACAAACGGCAACGTACGGGCACTCGAGGGCCTTAGTGGATCCGTGAATGCCCTCTACTGCGACCGGGAAGGCGGACGCGTCTATGTTGGCGGTAGTCTTTCTGGTGCCAACTCGACAAACGCCCTGGTCTGGAAGGACGGCTGGGAAGATCTCTCGTTCCACGGCTTCAACGGCCCCATTCATTCCATCACCCGTGCCTCTAACGACAACATTGTATTTGGAGGCGAGTTTAACGGCCTGGGCGGCAATGCCTCGACTGTGTCGAGCAAGAACAACACCCAGGTGATTCCCATCTCCAATGCACGCATCTCGGCACAGACCAGCTCCGGTATCAACGGCTTCACAGACCCCAAGAACATTGCTTGCAAGGCCGACTACACAACACAGGGCGCCGACTCTACCTGGCTCATGGCCGACCGCGCTGATGGTTTCTGGAAGGCCGAGTTTGGCTTTGGTTTTGAACCCACCAATATGAAGCTGTACAACACCGACTTCCAGGGCCGTGGCACCAAGACTTTCCACTTTACCGCCCTTCCTCTTGGAGGCATCTTGAATCTGACCTACACCGACCCCCAGACCGGACAAAAGGCCTTTTGCGACCTTCGATGCCCCTTGCCGGAGGGCAACACCACTGCCCAGGACTTTGCTTTTGTCAACGTTGTTGGTATGAACGCTTTCAGGATCGATATTACCGAGCACTATGGAGCTGGCGCTGGACTGAATGGCATTGAACTCTTCCAAGATGGTGAGTGCATCTACTCGCTTTACTAACTTCTTTCGCTAACGTCTGCAGCCATCTATTCGTATGCTGTCAACGAGTTCAACGAGCCCAGGAACTGTGGCCCCACCGGTTCGCTGTCAGAGTCAACCGCTACAGGCTCGTGGCAGGTTTCTCCTTCACATGACAGCAACTCCCAGTACCTTACAACCGTTCTCCAAGGCAGCCCGATTGATGTCAATGCGGCAACCGTTACCTTTGTTCCTGATGTCAAGCAGTCCGGCAATTACTCAGTCACCATCTTCACACCTGGATGCCAAGGTGACGGCACTTGTGGCACTCGTGGTCGCGTCAACGTCACGGCTGTGGCCGGTGGTCAAACCGAAAGCACCGAACTCTGGCAGACCAACAACTTTGACAAGTACGACGAGGTCTACAATGGCTTCATTGATGCCACTAGCGGCGCCCCTCCACGAGTCATTATCCAACCCGCCGCTGGACAAGGCCCATCACCCGTGACAGTTGTTGCACAGAGAGTACGCTTCACGCTGTTAAAGGCCACCTCTGGCAACCTGAATGGTCTTTTCGAGTACCAGCCAGGTCAGACTGCAGAAGCAGACAACTTTTCGGATTCGGTCATCAACGCTGCTGGTGCGAGCCTTAGTCCTCGGGAGAAGGCTCTGGTAACGAGCGTGGCTAGGGGCGACGATACTCTCTACGTTGGTGGATCTTTCAACACTACTGATAAACGCAACAACATCTTTGCCATCCGTGATGGCGCCACGGGACCTACGGCCCTTTCTGCCAGTGGGTTGAATAACCAGGTTATGACTTTGTTCCACAACGCTAGCACACTGTATGTCGGTGGCAATTTCACCAACACCGTAGACAACAATGCTCCTGGCCTGCGTGGTGTGGCTGCATACACCAATAACGAGTGGAAGCCTCTTGGCGCTGGTGTAGAGGGCGTTGTCCTGTATCTCGTGCCCTTTTCGCTCAACATTACAGACAACACACCTGAAGAAGTCCTGGCTGTGAGCGGTTTCTTCAGCCAAGTCAACGCTTTCGACAACAACCCCGCTACCAGCGTCAATGATTTCGCAGTCTGGGTTCCCTCTCGCAGCAACTGGCTGCACAACCTGGAATTCTACTCCCTCGCGATGTCGGGTAGATTGATGACGTTTGCTGACGTTCCTGGAAGTGCTCGTTGGTTTGGTGGATCCGTCTCCTCCGGTGCTCTCCTTGCAAGCGGTAGTGCTGAGCTACAAAGCGGAGACCAGCTGGAGCTCGAGGCATTCCCTGTCAAGATCAAGGCCCAACGCCAGGCTTCTCTTCGCAAGCGAGCTATTGTGGATGGACAAAACCTCAACACCACGGGCGTTCGCACTGGCACTTTCTACAAGGAAAATGGTATGAATAAGACTATTCTTGCTGGTCATTTTGCCGCAACCGGTGCAGACAACCAGAACATCACCAATGTCCTCATCATCGACGGCAACGACTCGGATAAGGTCACCGGTTTCAACGACGAGCTGGACGCCAACTCCACATTTGCCACTGTTGCCGTCATGAACAATATCTTGTACGCCGGTGGTGTGGTTAGTGGTCAGCTCAGAAATGACCGTGTTGCTGGTGTTGTCGCCTACGATCTCACCAAGAATGAATTTACTCCTGTGCAGCCGCCGCCACTTCAAGGCATCAACGTCACCGTCAATGCCATTGCCCCACGACCAAAGTCCAACGACATTTTTATCGGTGGCCAGTTTCAGTCCGCTGGAGCCTTGAGCTGTGCTGCAGTCTGCATGTGGAATACTGAGCGCAATCAGTGGAATCAAGCAGGAAACGGTATCCAGGGCGAGGTCACGTCTTTGACTTGGATTGGTGACACCAAACTTTTGATTGCGGGCAATCTTACATCGGGTAACAACCACACCAAGATCCTCACGTTTGATTCTACAAACAGCCAATATGCCGTTATTCCTGGTGCCAATGATCTTCTTGGTCCAGTCACTGCGCTCACCATTGCTAACCGCAATGGAGATCAATTTTGGGCCGCTGGCCAAGGCAGCGATGGCACTGCCTATCTACAGCGGTTCGACGGGTCCAAGTGGATCCCTGCCGACCCTGCCATGTTTGGCGCTTCAACCGACATCCGTGGTATCCAAGTTCTTTCTCTGTCGGAGAATCATGATGCGTCCCAGATCATTGACCAAGACCAAGATCTTCTTCTCATGGGCCATATCAATGTTACCGACTTTGGAACAGCATCTGCTGTGCTCTTTAACGGCACTTCACTCATTCCCTTCCTGCTTGCTACCAAGGGTCAGGATGGTCAGACGGAGCCAGGAAGCTTGTCTTCTATCTTTGTGGAGAACCCCAACTCGTTCTTCCTAAAGTCAGGTTAGTTATTTACCATACCCCAGACCGCACGTTTCTAACAAATTTACAGACAGCCACCTTGCTCTCTGGGCTATTGTCCTTATTGGCCTCGCCATCGCACTGGTCCTTACCTTCTTGCTTGTCGTCATTGGCATAATCATCGAGTGGTACCGTAAGAAGCAACAGGGCTACGCCCCTGCCCCAACGTCA